TTAGCTCATTTTAATTTAAACTTTGGACTGTTTTACAGACACGTTTACTAATCAGTAATTCAAATGATTGTATTTTTCTGATCAAAGTTTATTTATAATTCATCATTTTTTACAAGATAATGTTTAATATTCATGACGTTTGCAAAGCAACTCTCAACTACAGCTGTCCAATAATGTTGTCAGAAGCGAGCACTTTTGTCTCTGAGACAAGTTTCAAATATAAAGTAGAATAAATAAATGGCTAACATGTACTTGAGTAAATGTACTTAGTTACATTCTACCATTGCCTGCCTATTAAGAAAGTAGATGTTTATTGATCAGAATTACGTACTGCACCTTTAACTGTCATTGCTACATGCATGAACTCTTTCCTCTGCCTGAACTTTTACTGATTGCACGACTTAACCACAAACCAAGTCTTAAGCCTAAAATGAATAGTTAGCTTCTGTGGGACCGGCTTTTTGTTACCACATGGGTCTCCATAATGCGACTGTGTAAACAACCACAATGTGATTAATGCAAGCACACACATGAATGCACACATTAAAGGCTGTTAAGGATTTAACTCACCCACATACTCCATATGAAACACTCACGGAAACATACACAATATGAAATATTCATATAAACATATAGAGTTAATGCCTTTCCACTAAACATGCTCATATGGTTAGATTGGAAAAATAAACATTCATTTTGTGTAGCTTTCTCATGACAAACATGAACAATAATATCTCACTTTAATGAATGTCTTTGCAAATGCTCATATAACTGGGAAATGAGCAACTATCGCAGTTATTCCTGGGGTCTTTGAGTGATAACCTACATTGTAATTATTTAATCAAAGCAGGGAGGATGATGGTGGATGGAGCTTGTTTAAAATATGCACAACGGTAGCTAAGGCAACAACACAGGTGGGCAGGAATATTATGTTAATTGGTTTATTCATGGTAACAGGAATACTGCAGAGTATCGAAGATGCATTGGAAGAGCTTCTGTGCAGGAAAGCTCCCATGCTCCCTCTGATGGCACACGCCTGTATTGTTTCTGAACAAAGCTGATAATGTGGTCAAGTTAATTGAATTGTAATTTAATATCACTGTCAGTTGAGTATCGTTTTAACTCACCTATAATTGAACGGGTGTGTTATTAACAAGAATAATGCGACTATTTATTGCCACTCAAACTCTATCAGCTTTGACGGTTCAAAATAAAATATTCTCCATGGTTCTGTCACTTTACACTATGAAATCCATCTTTGCTTATTCATCCCTTAGTAAGGCAAACTGAAACTCTACCTGTTTCAGTTTTTTCTCCTCTTTGAAGTAGAAATTCCCTAATGTAATAAGTGTGTTCAATTGAAAGGGATGCTCTTAAAAGGAATTATTTAATTATTATTACAGATTAGTTTCTTCAAAATGTGAGGCTATAGTTAACATAGTTTTGCCATTATCTGTTTCACTAACTGTTAACCGTGGTCCGTAGGTTCTGGCTAGCGGTGCAGGAACTGAAGAAACGTCCCATCAGAGAGGTCCCCACCCGGGTGCAGGAGATCTGGCAGGAGTTTCTGGCCCCCGGGGCGCCCAGTGCCATCAACGTTGACTCCAAAAGCTACGACAAAACCACTCAGAATGTCAAAGATCCTGGACGCTATGCCTTTGAGGATGCACAGGTACAAATGATACAAATGCAATCATCACATCCACAGCTTATATTATGTAGTGGCCTATTTTACATTGTACATATGTATAGAGAACGTATTTAGTTTGGAATGTTACCGGTAATCTGAAAATGTTTTTTGCAACTGTAACAACAGCAACACCCTGGCAAATTACTACAGTATCACTATGTTTTGATGGTCATTGGAATACTGCATTTATATAATATATATTCACCACAATGTATCACCTCTTTCCACATTTTGTGTTTGTAAAACAGGAACACATCTACAAGTTGATGAAGAGTGATTCTTACAGCCGTTTCATCCGCTCCAGTGCCTACCAGGAGTTATTACAGGCCAAGAAGAAGGTAAAAAAAACACGCTTAGTCTGAAAATACAGAAAACTACTGTGCATGTTTGTACGATTTGTTGATTTGTGTACATACACTCACTCTTCACTGATGCTGAAACCTGCCCTCCTGGCACCCACAGCCTTTTCAAAACCCGGTAAATCACACTTTAACCCCATTCCAAACAAGCTGCTGCTTTAGCACTCTCCTGCAGTGACCTTATAGTAGGATAAAAATACAATTTTGACCACTTAGGGGCAGAAAATCCTAGCCGCTTTAGAACAGCATGTGCTTCTGTTCCTCTTAGTTGTGGTTTTGTCTCCACTAACTCCTAAACAAAAGCTGGTTTGTACTTAGCTGCAGGGATGGATGTGGATTTGACTCACCAAGCAAGTCCTTGAAATGATATTCAGCTATTTGTGATAATACCAAAAATAACACTTAATGCAGATTAAAGGACATCAAATCAAATCCCTGAATACAGCAGTGAATGTGGTAGAGTTACTTTAAGGGGCAAAGTAGGTCAAACCAAAGAACAAAATGGCACCTGCATGCTTGCAATACCAATGAGTGGCAGAGAAATGGAACACAACATCCTGACAGTCTGCTTCAGGTGTGTGTGATGGAGTAGCTGATCAGGACTCCTGTTGGGCGTACAAAAACATTATGAACAGCAGTCATAACATGATGAATAATTCTGAATTACGCAGGTGTATTTTTAAAACCTGCCCTGTTCAATGCCTCCTACACTTTCCCTGCCTGACATTCTGGCAGAGAAGATGTTGCTATTACAACTTGGGTTTATAAATACATGTGAATGCAGTACATTTTTGTAACAGCTTGATGAAAAGTATTTTCTATTCTGTTTTTTTTTAGGTAGACTGAACTTCAAATGAACTGATCTGGCTTGCAAACTGTTATGCAATATATATTATAATTTATGTATGCACACTTGAATCCTCTGCACAGTGAAATTGCTTCAACATGTCCTTCTTTGTCCCCACAGAAAAGTAAGAACTTGTTCTGAAGGCTCTTGCTTCAGGTAATGCCAAATACAAACTGTCATTTGGTTATTGTGTCATCAGTGATGTTGAGAATTACTCTACCCTTTTACAGAAATCCAGCATAATTTTCTAGCTGCTCATAATCTTATTCTTATTTTAAAAATGCATTTATTTATTCTCTCCTTCACATTTACTGACCTCATTCTCTTTGCCAGGGGAAAGCACTAGCGTCCAAGAGGCTGACCAGTCGTGTGCCATCATGCTAAAATCAATGCCATCTCTCTCTCTGGGACATGGAGAGGGGGACCATCTCATCTCTTTGTCATCATTGTCTGTCCATTCGCTCTCGGCTCAGCCTGGACCGTCTGTTCGTCTGTTGTCCACCGGATGTTGCATGTCCATGGAGAGGATGTTCCTTCTTCTCTCTCCTCTTACAGTACCTGATATATTTCCAGTATTCTCTGAAAGGAGGCACTGCTGGACTCGTGAGTACACTGACAGACTGGCGAGATGAAACATGCTATTGAAGAAAATCAAATCCTGTGTTCCAGAGCTTTCCATCATAACTGCTGGATCAGAAGCCCCTCTCTCACTTCCAGCTGAAACAAATGATGTCAGAGAGAAGAAAAAAGAAAAAAAACAAATAGAAAAAATATATTAAATGACAGCTTAAACTGATCAATCTAACCAATGTCATTGCTTTACATGATCTGAGGTCACAGATACTTTGTCACGCTATGGGAAGTGTTGTGCAGAATGAATATACAATATATATATATATTCATACATACATATATATATATTATGATTTGTATTATTATGATTATTTATTGTGCATTTATTTTGCTTTGCATTATTTTATTGCACTACAATAATTAGCACATATGGTTTTCATTGCACTTGTAAAGTCACATTCAAAAATACAAAAAAGCTGTCTCCTGTTTTATGTAGAACATAATTCTTTGTTATTCTCTCCTGCATTTATTTTTATACCATATTTAAAGACACTTTTACTTACTTGTATTATTAAAGTTGGCCCTCTATCTGTTATTAATGGCTGTGTTTGGATTTTTGTTACCTATATGAACCACTTAAGCAATAAAGACATAGCATTTAGTCTGCAGGGTTAGTGCTTTAATAATGCACTTTTGCTTTCTGCCACTAGAGGGTGTTACATTATTTCCCACAGCGGGAATCTGCCTCTTTTCAGCTACCAGCTCCTCAACACAATACACACAAATGCACCACAGTTTTCTGCAGACAAATGAAGTTTTGTCATGCAAAAGTGTCATCGTCCTCTGAAGTGCTGAAGGGGTTATTGTTCAGACTGTACCCATCTGAGGTTTTCTCGGGTCTGTTGATGTTTCAGCTCTTTGATGGCAGAAGTGACAGTCAGGGTTTTCAATCTCTGTGCCCAGTGGTCAGCTCAGCCAGAGCCACAAAACAGACAAACATTATTGTCTCAGTTGCATCAAGGAATGTGAATTGTGGCATTTTTCAAACCACCCTGTTAGTGTGTCTGGGTACATGCACACAATGATTTATGGATTCTGGATTAAGGGTTGTAATGTGATGTGGCCACTGTGCCAATGAGAGAGGATAATATGGGGGTTTTAAAGAAAGTCTTTGTTTCTTTACAACTTGGTCCTGTGTTGTCCATTCTGACAAAATGTCATCCACCTCCTAAAAATGTTAATGTCAAACACAGGGGAAGAGGGAAAGCAATCATAAAATGGAAAAACAAACAATGGAAAAGTTGTCATTTTTATAGGTTTGATATACTGTATAATTGCCAAAAAAAAATATATATCAAAGAAAAATGTCAACAGGCAGAGAGAGACAGACGCAGGGAGACTTAAATGAAAGAAGTGAAGCTTGGTTTGATTCACACAATGACCAATAGGATAAACCCTCCCAGTCTTGAGGAAGGAAAAGGGGTGGTGGGGATTCAAACTAAGGCAGGCTTTACAGTGAGTCAAACACTCTCAAAGACAGACTGTCTCCACAGCACGGAGATATGGGTTTACTGTAACTGAGACCTGGAGCTTTCTTAAACTTAAAAAAAAAACTTTAAAGAGAACCATAGACTGAGAGACAAATAAAGAGACACATCTTGTCCAAAGTGATGTAAAGCTAATCCTGCCCAATACTTTGAGACTTTAGCGTGGTGGGAGAGAAAAAAGAGGAGCGAGGACAAGCCTGAGGATACTACAGATTATGTTGCCATGGAAACCGAAACCTGGAAGCGGACGCAAGGACCACTGAAGGCATCGACATCCCCTGACTGCATCCTCGACACGTTACCGTCCTCCTGCGCCCTGTGGTGAGAGGTACATAAACCATGCCTCGTTTTGTATTGTGATAACACTTTAACACTTTGTTTAAAACTCTTTAAACAGTTTGCAAGAAGGTTCTTTAAAATGTCTATTGAAATAATTAATACTATGCAGGTATTAAAACTGAATAACATATCATAAAAGAAAGTTCTTAATGCAAGATGGTACACTTGTTGCCCCACTTTTAGGCCAAACATGTCATTGTAAATAGCAGGATTTCTAGAATAATGACTCCCTTGAAGATTGACCTAATTTGCAGTGTATGTGAGGAAACAATGATTATATATGTGCGACGCACCATTTTCGAGTTACTGAGGTGAGAAGTGTAGATAAGTGAGTGCTGGTTTGACATTTCCCACATGAGCGCTTTGAACAAGTGGACAGTAAGAGACTGACGGAGATAATGGGACTGAGTGACTCAGTGGGTCTCTAAATGACTAAGCGCAGATTCATGTAATCTAACCAGCAGTAGTTGTACAGATATTTTGCATTTCCGCCAGCAGTAAGGGATTGATCCCCACAGGGGCCACCCATAGTAAAAAATATACGCCTTCAAGGTACTATAAGGTGTTCTGGATAAAGACTAAATTACTATAATTATCCAGGGGAATTAGTGTGTGAGTGAGAGAATTAGTGTGTGATGACAGTGTGTTGTACTGTGCATTTGACTGAGATTAAGAGTCAGTGTAGTTTTTCCACTGAATATGAAAAAGAGAGAAAGAGAGACAATGATGTTAACATACAGTATATAGGGGACCTGTTGTCTGTGTATACACAATAATCTTTATTCTTTTTTTTCAGTTCTAATGTACACCTGTATATCGTTGTGTTTGTGTTCATTTCTGTATGTATATTTAATGTATTTGTGTGTATTCATGTGTGAACTGCTGTGTATCAACATTGGTGTGTGAACGTGTGAGTGTGTGTGTGTGTTCCTGCAGTGTGTGTGTGTTGAAAGGTGGGGAGTTTGCCTTCTGATCCTGCTTGCAGCTCCGGTGACTGCACCACCTTGCACAGTTCGCTCTGATGTCAAAGAGGATTTAGCACACAGACACATTACAGGTTCTTAAGCAACAGAAAACACTTCATTGTAAGCCTCTAAAGATAGTAAAACTGTTATTTGATAGAAGCCTTAACAGCGTTCTTAACACGTGCAGTTTACGCTTAACACATGAACAGGTAATAAGAAAACACTGAGGAAAGCGGATTAAAAGTAGAGCTAAGCTGCATTTTGGCCAGAATGTGTGGTTGTGTGTCGTTCAAATTAAAGCTTTTGTTTCTTTTAACCAGCAGAACATTCACATTGCAAAATATGGCTTTAAAGAAGTATTTTTAAACCCCGTAACAGGCAGTGGCCTGCTTGAGCCCCAATCATTGAAAGCTCATGATGTGCAATCAAACATTGTGCAAACCACTGAAGAAGGATATTCCCATTAAATGGAAAGACATTTTTTTTTTTTAGATTCTGTCAGATAGTGTGAAATAAATAAGGCATATAAACCTTAAAGGGGAAGACTTCATGTTATGTGATTAAACAGACAAATGTCACTTTGAGTCAAAATGTAGGGTGGTGTTAATCACTGCAGCTAAGTAGTGTCACACAAATGTGAAATGAGAAACCCTGCACTATCATAGCATCTCTAATTGCCTCGCATCCACCACTAAAGCACTTAATGTTGCTGAGGCAAAGAAGCCTTACATTCTTGCCAGTACTTAACTTGGAAAGCATTATATATGGGCTGCTAGTCATTATCAAGATGGATTGTGGTGACAAATGGCTGCCCAAACTGCCTAAAGCAGCCTCTTGGCAATGTTGGCATTAGACACATTTACACAGAAAAGCCCCCTAAAGGACCCCGCCACCCCCGCAACTGTTAATGAGCCAACAGCCGAGCGTAGTTTGGGAAAATAGAATCCGCAAATGCAGATAATGACATGGTTCCTCTTTGTGTAATTGGCTCCAAGTGAAAACATTTCATTTACCTCTCTTTCCCTCTGTGTGTGTGTGTGTGTGTGTGTGTGTGTGTGTGTGTGTGTGTGTGTGTGTGTGTGTGTGTGTGTGTGTGTGTGTGTGTGTGTGTGTGTGTGTGTGTGTGTGTGTGTGTGTGTGTGTGTGTGTGTGTGTGTGTGTGTGTGTGTGTGTGTGTGTGCGTGTGTGTGTGTATGCGTGTGTGTGTGTGTGAACATGTGTGTGTGTGAACATGTGTGGTCACAAATGTATGCGTGTGTGTGCTTGTGCACCTCCCCTTGTGTGATTGAGGTTGGAGTTGCACGGTGAATTAAATGCAGTTCTACTGTAATTAACTGCACTTACCAGTCTGTGTATGAGACTTTCTGACGCACCAATAATTGAGGCATCAGGTTTTGTTTGTTTTAACCTGCCTTTGAAGACATGCTGGGAAGATGTTTCACATGGTTTAGTGGAAATACATCCGTAGGCACAAGTTTCAAAGTCTTGAAATGGATTTGCGTTCCTTTTTTCAATTATCTAACAACAAAAAAATCTAAAATGAATAAATATTTAGCAACAAGGCTGGAGTTTTTCACGATTCAATTTGTTTTTCATTTCACTTTGACATTTTTTTTTTTCTTCAAAGACCCATTGTTGTCCAGACAGAAAACATTACCATGATATTATATTCTGAAAAACAAAATACAACAAGTTCCCACTGATGATTATAGTTGTTTTTAAAAAGGCTTGTGTCTAGCTCAGCAGTCACTCTGGTATTTGTATCTGGTATTTGTAATTTCATTAGAGGTCTGAAATTTGGAACAAAAGTCTGCCACAGTTCAGTGAAGCACATCCTCCAGTGACTCCACGTATTTGTGGTTCTGGTAAAACATAAAGCTGTGTTTGTGGACAATATTAGTGTTCAGCAGACAGAAGGGTCCGGTTCAGTTCTGTCTCAGCATTAAAACACAAAACCACAGTCTCCTTCCGTCCCCGGGACTCTGTGATGACTAGTGCTGAGCATCAGGAGAGACAGATAAAGTGACAGAGAGACAGATGGGGAGAGAGAGAAACCAAGAGACAAACTGCTTGTCGAAAGATAAACAGCCTGGCAGGAGGGCATACTGTGCATGTAGCCCAAGTGGTGTTGGTTTTGTTTCCCAGTAGGTCATCTGTCCCAAACCCTCTTTCCCTTCTATCTCCTAACCCCAATCACTAACCACCTCAGGGGCTCCCCCCAAAAGCCTTACCCCAAAACCGCAATTTGTCTTGCAGCAGAGATTGATGAGGATAGCTTAGCAGGGCCGGCACTATCATACTTAAGCAGAGTTTGGGAGTGGAGAGGGAGCGCTGCTGCTGGCTGTACAGGCCATCCGTCATGCTCTATGTACACAGTTGGTCAGGTCATCCCTCAAAAGTCCCCGGGGCTTTGCAGACTGTAGCTCAGCAGAGTCACAGGGTGCCTCTCTAAACGATGGACAGCGGGAGAAGAGGGAAACAGAGAACAAGGGCCTTCACATAGAAGCATAGAGTCTGCTCCTCCTAAACAGGCGTTTGTGCATTTAAATACAAAGTCAGCAGGAAAGAGATGGATCAGCTCAAGACAAATGAGACTGTGTACATGGAAGGTAGATCAGGGGCAGATGGAGTGGGGTCATGACTCCCTGATGCAGTAGCGGGAGTCTTTAGTTTAGTTATTCTAACCTATTAGGTGGGTGTGTGCAGGCTGTGGTATGTATGTAAAAAGGTGTGCCTACAGAAGAAGCATAGGAGCAATTTGAATTTATTTGTGACAATAAATATATGAATTAAAAGTATTTGTCTTCTGGATGTCCTCAGATGGAAAGATCCACATATCAACATCAGACTTGATTGTCACTGTAGAGCACATCAGATTTTTTGGCAATGTCCACATAATCCAAAATACTTCCTTTCTGCGCTGGTTTGATATTTGAATGAAGAAAACAGACAACATAAAAAAAACCTAGAGATCAGAATTGAACGAGAAAGCATCAAAAAGTCAAAAAAGTATTCTGAATTCAAGTCCATATAATTATACTATAGAGAATATCTGGTTATAATTTACACTGCATTTCTTGATGGACACACAGCTGCTGTCTAACTTACATGAAATTATGCCGGGATAGTGATATACAGACCGGGGTGCTTATGCAGTCCGGACAGAGCTGCCATGACCTCAGGGTCAAGGGTAGAGAAAAGGAGGCAAAAAACAAAGTGGATTATGATAAAGTAATTTGTTCCATGTCAGAGTGAGTTGCAGGTCCAGGAAAAGGAAGAAAGGGAAAATACAAATTTGCACAGTAAAGAAGAGTCTGTGAATATGAGCCGCCAATGTCCTTGAGGCAGTTTGGTTCTCTGTCAGGATTTCTGACTTGATGTCATGCAATGCTTGTCAAGAGCAACATCTGCTGAAAAGATGCTTGAGTGATGGTCAAAAATGTGCTGGCGCAAACACAGACAGCATGCACACGGGCCGAGATCTGATTATGGACACTGGGTCAATCTCAGTTCAGTTTGATTCATAGTATATCTCCAATGAGTAGAAGAGTTGACTCCCAAAGGGTACTGGAGAGTTCCCCAACTCTTCTCCTAATAACATGCAGATGGGCCTCTCCAATGCCTGTTTACATATCTGCGGCATAGTTCATGACTAAAGTAAGCAAAGCCCTAATTATTTTACCCAGCAACGGGACCAATAAAATCAACTTCCCCTTCACGTTATGGGTGTTTAAGTGTATCCTTTGATGGCAGGGCCTTGTTTATTTTTGGAAGAGTTGCGTAGCTGAGAGGAAAGCAAATAAATGTAATGACACAGAGATGCTGACAAATGGGGGCCCTGGTGATGGATTCATTTCCTCAATGATGCCTGGAAGGCTTGACAGCAAAGGTGGTTAAAAACAAATGCATATTATTCACAAAAATGCAAACATTATTTGCTTTATTGATATTATCTTTGGAATTGTATGACAGTCGTGCGAATTATTGGTACACATCCTACGTTGTCAAAATTCAAGGAATCTGTTCATGTGACAACAGATGTTTTTCTTGAGAATCACCATTTAATGTGCCTCTCTCCTTTTGCAGAATGCTGTGGAGAATATCTATACCAGTCATACTGGCTGGGTTGCTCTGCATCACGGCAGAAACCAAAAAGCACCGGCCCCAGGGGTCCATCCCGTCCCCGCACAAGACCAAAGGGAACCTGTCCTCAGAGCGTCACCAACGGCTACTGCAGCAGAAACCTGAGGTGCTGTCCTCCAGCCGGGAGGCCTTGGTGGTGACGGAGCGTCGCTACCTCCGCAGAGACTGGTGCAAGACCCAGCCTCTCCGCCAGACCATCAGCGAGGAGGGCTGCCGCAGCCGCACCGTGGTCAACCGCTTCTGCTACGGCCAGTGTAACTCCTTCTACATCCCCCGCCATATGGGCCCCAGCTCGAGTCAGGGCCAGAATCGAGGACAGGCCTCAGGCTCTGGAAGGAAAAAACACAACAAGGTCCAGGAGCCGTTTCAGTCCTGTTCCTTCTGCAGGCCACACCGCATCACACAGCTCACAGTGCAGCTAGACTGCCCAGACCAGCAGCCGCCTTTCAGACACCGCAAGGTGCAGAGGGTCAAACAGTGCCGCTGCATGTCTGTGGATGTGAGCAGCCATGGGAAACTGTAAAGGACTTAAGATTAAAATAATAGGAGTTCAGTCAAAGGCAGGAAATTCATAAGCTTCGCCAAACAAGGACTGGCTTCAAGTTGAACTATACTGCAAGGTGTTGTACAACTGATGGCTTGTCCCGCAATAAAATGACATGGAACTGGTATTATTAAACAAAGGATCAATGATGATTACATCAGAGACAAGCAGTCATGTTGGCAAGCTGATGCTGTTGAAAGAGACTGATTAAAGTAGTGCAAGAGACACTGATGATGAAGCAGCAAAATGTCAACATTAAAACAACATTTCCTTTGATTTCCATTTACCTGGCTATTTGTTCATTTTTCATTAGATTCCTTTGTGATAAAGGTGATGATAAACTATAAAACACTATGGATTCTGCTGGTAATTTAGCGTCTTGGAGAAACAAGTTATAGTGTACATATTTTGCCAGCAATGTTTTAACCTGTTGATGGTGTTTTACAACTATTGTATCCGTTGTCCAGCATTGTTTCCTTAAATCCTATGTCCGAAATCATACACCAGTTGATATCAAGAAAACATGAAGCAACACAACAATGACCAGTGGCATCCACCTGCTTCGAAACAAGCCTGGCTGTATATTTGCCACAGATATACTAGTCAGTAGGAAAAACATACTGCAGCATGTATAATGGAGGTGCAATGCAATATATGGGGCATTCTACCGAATTAGTACAAAGTGCGGTCCCACCACAATAAAAACTATTTAACAAAACAATTACGTATTCAGACATAGATATTTACTAAGAATATGTTATGGTCTATTTAAACATAAGGCATTCAATTATATAGTGATAAGCTTAATATATACAAAAACATCATTTATAGGGTACTTTCTATTGGGAAGTAGCTGTCCCCAACCCTGACATCTAAATTTCAATTTCTGTAAATAACACTTAAAACATTTTATTTTATTTTGTTCAATGGTGTATTTAGAAGATCTTTATGATTACATTCAAACAGCAGTTGGAATATTTAGATTTATTGTGGGTATCATTTTTTAATAAAAAAACTATACTCAAAAAATCATGTCCCCAGTTTTCATGTCACTACCGAAACACAAGGGGTTTTAGTCCAATGGCAGAGCCTGGTTTTTAGCCACACCCCTGCATTTTTGACAAGGCAGTGACACTGCATCCCTGTCCCCCATGGCTGAATGGCAAGTAGCTATATCCCATACTTTTAATATAAATCTGTTCCAAAATCTGAAAATCGGCGTGTAACCTTAACAATTGTCACTACCGAACACATATTATCTTCAATTAAAGGTGGGGTATGTAATTTTGGAGAAACCAGCTCGAGTGCGCTAGAATGTGAAAATACACAACCGGAAAAAATCTGCCACTTCCTTACAGAGCCCCTCCTCCAACACACACGAACGTGCACATGACCAATGAGGGCACGAGATAAGTTTGTGCACAGATGGAAGGCTGACAGGCAGGTAGGCCATCCAGTTATTTTAGCCGGGCCGGCTCAGATGATTGGTCGTGCTTTTTACAGTACTACGGCTTCCACTGATTACATTTTTGAATGTATTTATTGTCAAAGCATTTAATATATTCATTGCTATCGGGATGTTATGAGCATTCCATGGAATATAACAAAAAGTGTTTCTGAAATAAATTACATACCCCACCTTTAAGTAAACCTTTTCGGGGTTTTATGCAAAGTATTAGGTTTTTATGTGTGTAAACCTCTTCAAAAACGTGTGCTAGCCATGTACTTGCTAGCATTCTTTAGTTATGCTCAATTTTAGCTAGAATCGTCACTACCGAAACAGTCACTACCGAAACATATGGTTACGTTTCGGTAATTGACATGATCGTTTCGGTAGTAACAAAATGGAATGGTAAGCAGGTAAATCCCACCATTTTGAAATAAATGTTTTAAAGTCTGAAAATAAGTGTGTTACTTTAAAGGTCTCTTATTATACTATTGTTAGGCATATATTATAGGTCTCAGATATATAAAAAACATGTCTATGAAGTGTTTTGCTCAAAATACCAAACAGATCATGCATTCTAGCCTCAAACCCCTCTATTTCAGCCTGTTACTAAAGTGCTGATTCAGGGTAAGTAGCTTCAAACATTCACACTTCAACATAAGGCATGTTATGAGTTAAGATTAAGCAATAAGGTTGATATGATACAACCTTGAGAACAAAATACTGTGGTCACTACCGAAACAGTGGATGTTTTGTAAAACATTAAGTATATTGAGTTATCAACTAAAATGATATGATACTGATTGGTTTAATGTATGTTCAATTTCAACAATCATCAACTCTGGAATCAATCATCAACTCTGGAATCAATATGATCAGTATTATGCATTTTACAAAGAAAAATGGCATTATGATTTTTATGAATTGTATAAATTGAACTTTGAAATTTGATTAAAAATGCACTTTTATTAATTTAATTGTGAAAACCCTCAAGAAATATTTGTTAAAATACTATTTAGAGAACGGAACGTAAAACAATCTTAACAGGTTCATATAACACTTTTTTTACTACAGTGTATTTACTATGTTTCGGTAGTGACCATTTTTGGTAGAGGAAGAACATTCCAATACAGTCTGAAAATACGATATAAAAATGTATGGTTCTTTTACTAGATATGTGTAATTTAGATATGGTATAAAATATATATGGACTAAGTTTTGGGGAAAAAACATAAAAGATTTCAAAAAAATTCCAACCTGACTTTGGTCCAATTCGGTAGAATGGCCGATATACAGTATATATATTTTATGTATGTGTGTATGTATGTCTGTGAAAAGTATATTAAATCTATTTCATATAAAACATTGGTGTTTAGAGTGCATGTTGTTCTGTAACACTTTCACATTTGAAAAAATGAAAAAACTGAGAACAATCAGCAACAGCAGAATTTTTTATTACAAATTATGTAATTTCTTTTATGCAATAAATATAATTTTTCTGTGGTCAAGGTTATTCAATGAAACACATTGTTGGTATTGCACACGTCACGTCACATGGTCCTATTGCATATGGGAGTTCACACACTCACAGGCAGGCGGAAAGGCAACACTAACTGCATAGGGTTTTTGCTTAAAACAAAGCAAGTTGATGATACTGGAGAAAAAAAACAATAGTCTTTATCTATATACGATTACACCACTTACTTGTTCAGGACCTTATTGGTTGAAAAGACAAATTAAGCAGTTGTATGTAAAACATTTTTGTAATTATATAGATTCTGAAACTAACTTAGTAAATGTGTCATGTTTCAGCCTATGTAGAACATATGTATCTTCTTTACATGTAACATTTAATAACAGATGATATGTCTAAAAAGAAAAAGCTCTGTTCTACAGCACTGATTTGACTCCTACAATGTGCGATAAGGCACTTTGTCTGGCAGATGATCCATACCCACCATGTAGAAATGTTATAAAATTCTTTGATTTTGACCAATAAGGAAGATATAAAAAGGACGTTGTCATGCCTTTCTATTAACAAGGCAGGGGAATTGCACAAAAAAATAGGCTACATATGGCTTATAAAACACTGAGAAAGCTTGGATATTGTGTTGCTACACATTTCCGCCTCCTCTGAGCATTTTCTGGCAAATGACTCAGCTACATTTAATCATCTCAGTTTATAAATGTCTTTTGGAAGCAATATTTCATTTAATTATGCAGGTGCTATGAAAGGGGGGCTGAGAATGTAATTTTTCATTCAACTTCTAAACAATATAATATCCACTTTCAACCAACTGACAGTAAACATCAGGTCTAAATCAATTGAAAACAAATACCGGAAGCAAATACACGTTGCACAAATGACTGATGAGTCATGTCATATTGTACAAACAGTGCTTGTGCAATAGGCTGTGTGATGATAATTTTCCATTCTCAGCTTCAGATCTTCTGACCCAACTTTGCTTTCTGTGGAATAAAAAACAGGCCAGAGTTATTTACAGCCAGAAGTCCTTGTACTTATGAGTTTTTTTTTAACACCTTGAAAAAGGAGGAAACAATTTGCACAGAAAAGAGAAGAGTGTCTGTACTGCTGAAGCTAACTCAACAAATAAAAGGCATTGATGAGACATTACAGTAACTGTGATGTGAAGTGTATAGACGTACTATTCCAGTTGCGTGTTTGGGTTTCACATTGTAGGAAGCTTTCTCCTTGGCCTGTTTGAAACTCTCTTCAGCCTTTTTGACCCTGAAAAAACACCAGTAATAACGATCAGTTATCTTTTTGAGAGCAAATCACAGAATGCACACAGACTCATTCCACTATTTGAAATTCGGTATTTCACCATTAAAAACAAAGATGCAGTACACAAAAATACAGCTGGGTCAACCAGACTATGGTCCTGTGGTGTTTGGACGCAGGGACCTGGATGTCAGAGGGCTAGCCCTGTTACTTTGAATGACTGACTGTCGTTTACTGCTGCATGGAGAGAGCAGTGTTACTACACGTCTGTGCTTCAAGACAAATGATCCGCATGTTGGCATTGAGCGATTAGAATAATTTATTGAAACAGACAAGCATCTTTCCTTTGCTCATTACATTGGTACTGTGTGGGCCTGTGCTGCATGTTTGCATGTCCCTACAGGTGAGGATTATTATCTATAGTTCCATTGGAGTCTAAAAGGAAACCAGCAGAGAGTGAATTGGGATGCTTGCCAATCGCAAAGGGCAAAGAGTAAATGCTTTCAAATTTGTTTTAGTCTTTCCTACTGAACAAGCAAGGCTTGTGACATTTTGCTTCTCTTACAAATACATATCACAATTCAATCTCAATTTGGCATAATGGACCAATTAGTTTTTGTTGACATATGCGGCAGTATCTTTATGTTCATCAAACCACTGGAAGCTAACTGGATGCTGCATGTGTTCTTTTCATTACTGGGGTGAGGACAAAGATTTGGGTCATTTAACCGCTTTTCCCTTCATGAATTTGAATGAATCTGATAGGATCTTCAGTGAACACGAGATGTACTGCATAATGTTTCAAAAACATTGGCTTGGGGATAAATCTAAATGTTGGAACATTGGTATATCTGTAATGACATTTTGTAGGTCAGAAAGTGGTGTTCCCTTTCCAAAGAAACAATACAAAATGACTGAAAAGACTCAGCATTAGCAGCATTATCCAGTATCCAGACAAATTCTTCAACTAATATAATGTCACAGTCTGAAACTGAAAACTTGTCACCATATTCTTACCGTTCCTGTAACATCAGTTTATTCTGCTTCTTCCATTGGTCTTTAAAATCAGAGGAAAACTCGTGCCAAATGGAGAAGAAAGTGTTCGGTGAAACCTCTTTTTCCCCTGCCTTGGGTTTAACCGAAAAGGACATGGTCAACTCCAAGAAGCTGGGGACAGAGAACGAAAACATTACTTAGAAACCAAACTATTACAACATGAGATTACAGAAATCTACACCGATTGTTGTGAAACTTGGCTTTGACGAGAAAATATGCAAAATATGAAAGTAAATCTTGGGATAATGAGTTTTTTCTGAAATGTAATAGCAGAGTATAACGTAAAAAACACAAACCAATGATGACTGTGCATTTCAGAATAGAACAGTGCACACAAAATGGGATTATGACCAATAAAGCCGTGTAGTAATTCAGTTTTCTTTCTGGCAGATTAACTAGGACTGAACTGCTATGCATTTCACATACAGCGTTTAGCCTTTGAACTCCTCTCCCAGGTGTGAATAAGCCTGTTTGTACGTTTCTGTATATATACTCACACATACTGCAACGACTACCAACAAAAAGACAAAGACAGATCTAGCAAAATGAGAGCTTGCGTATAGCAGGGGATGCCACTTGTTAAAGTGTTAAACGCGGTGGCCATTTGTAGTGGATCAATACAGTGGACAGGTTGGGGTCTCTTTGTTTGGAGTGTGCTATAGGAACACATTCCTAGCCAGCAGTAACAGAAGCCTGGAGCCAAGGCTGTCTACTCTCGCTCCGCTTAGATAAACAACACAGACACCGCACAGGGGGCCTCCCGTCTGCTGAAGGCCTGGCATCATGGCCCGCACCTTCCATGTAACTGAAGGAACCAGGAGTCCTAAATATTGACAAAGTAGCACGATTATATTTCTTTAATTCAGTGAGGAAATAACACTTTAAACTGGATTGGATTGCATTATCCTGTGTTGCTTTTCCTTTGTTATTCACAACTGGGATCACTGTTTTGACGGTTAACAATAGATCAAAAGTGAACCAATGAAATGAAACAGAAGTGACTGCGTTTACTTTTCAGGTGAAGAAGCTGTTGAAAGTGTTTAATGAAATGAAGAAGGTCTTACATCTTTTCAGTGTCAGCCAGTTGCTTCTCTTGAGCTTCCAGTTTGGTTTTGGCTGTAAAAGAAGGCACGTTTTGATATAAGGAGAGAGCAGAGCATGAGTAAATACAGGATTAAATAAGGATTAGGACCGATTCGGGATTTCCTGTAACATCAGAAAATACATCTTTCACCCACAATGCAACTTGTATATAGGAGGATTCCAGATGTCATCATTACTTAAATCAACAGTCCTCTTCAAGGTCATCGCTGTGCCACCAGGTTATTAAGTGTTGGATTGTCCGCTATTGCACAACTGACAAATGAGTACTGCAGATCGCAGCACAAGTGCTTCTTTGTGCAGGGTGACTCCGAATGAAGACAGATGACTGACTCTGTGTGTGTGTGTGTGTGTGTGTGTGTGTGTGTGTGTGTGTGTGTGTGTGTGTGTGTGTGTGTGTGTGTGTGTTTGAAAGATAATGTGTGTTTGTGGGTAAAAGGTGTGAGAGAGTTAGGGAGAGACAGCAAGAGGGTAAGAAAACTGTGAGTTGGACACCATGGTACACATTAGGACATACTTCCAGCAAGCCACAACATTTATCTAGGCTGGCCATCAGGATCCTTTTGACTGCGCCATAAATGATGATATAAGAGACCAGCACTGAAATGTGACAGCTTCGCTCAGGAAAATATGGCAGACTACTTCTTATCAAATTTCAGACCTATGGGCTGATTTTTCATCCTAATTTTCAAATACATCATACTAGAGTAAATCCAGCTGTATATTTACGGGTCTACATTTTTATATCTAATGTTGGACATTAACTTTTCTGTCGCCTTAAGGTCAATCATCTGAGAGCTGCTGCTGCCTTGAAACATTGTGGCTTTTCAAGACAGACATGACAGTAGATGGGACGGAGAATCTGTCCTGGCACAAGGCTGTGTTCTACTCTTATCCCGGGAATATCTGGTTGCTACGTGTAATTGAATCCAGAGCCACATCTAAAGATCTCAGACAAACCCGTTGAGCCCAGAACTTTGCTTTAACGTAGCACAGCACTGAATCGCGCTGCGGACCACGATCATGTCTCTCCGCTGGCGGCTCATCAATAAATGATGACAAATTGATGAATAATATGAATGTCTGGCAATGCTGGATGCATCTTAATATCCGAACTGTGCCTTGTTGTTTTAAGGAAACATGTTTTAACATTACACTTACTATAATATTCTGCTATGAGTGATGTCAAATCTATTTCGAAAAACATTGAATCATTGAGAAAATGTGATATTGTGGGGTGGGATGACTGTAAGGATTAACACTGTATTTACAATCAAATTGATACAGAAAGCTTTGCAGTAAATATTATTTAAAGATGTCAGCTCATCACATCATGGCTAAGAATCAACACGTCTATTTAATGTGTGATTTTACATGATGTGCCATCCTAAGCAGCAAAGTTGTAGCTGGTAGAAAAAAAAGGAGGGGGGGTTTGACATCAGTCCTTCTAATCTTTATGTCCATCAGAAACAGATTATCACATGGCCAGTGCTCTAGTCACAGTGACTCCATCAAAGGCCTGCATGCATGAGAATTTGTGAAGCGAGCGGGGAAAATCGAGCTAGACCAAACAGCCGAGCTCCAACAAGTCCGCTCCCACTGTTATTCTGTGGTTAGTTTCATGGTCAGAAAATAAACAAAAGCGGTTTAAACTGTGGAGCCAGAAACAGTTTAACCCCAGGCCTTTTAGAAATTACAGAAATAACAAAAATAAGACATTTGGCTGTTGTTCTTTTTTTCACCGCCGCAGTGGAGGAACCCCAAGAATCCCGTCTGGAGCCTTCTGAGTCACATGTCCATGTTACGGTGCTTACATTCTGCTCTCAGAGGAAAAACCTCCTCTCTCTTTGCATCAAAGAGAGAGCTCCCATATTTCTCTCAAACACAGACAGAAAGGAAACGAGAAGGAAAAGAAAGGGGTGGCAATGAGGAGAGATGCTTTCATCTGCAGACTTCCTTTAAAATGGACAGTGAGCATTACCGCTGAACAACATATGCTATATATTATACTCTCATCTGAATACAAAAGCAGTTGGGAGAGAGGCCTGTGAGCCGGGTCCTTCACAAAGATTGGTCACAGCCAACTGGATGTAGCCAAGGTCAGAGTCAATACTACATAAAGAAAGGCTTTTCGATTGTTATGTTAAAACAAGAATAACAAATAAGTCTTACATGTTTGAAGTGGAGCTCGTTTTAAATGCCAGATTAGGAAAGGGAGAGGAAAAAAGCATGTCTGTGTGACATCTGGTGGAAATGACGGATACGCTTTAACTGAACAATACCTAAAACAAAAATGTAGTAATAACTGTTTTCTTTCTTTCTCTTTTAACTGTTTGTTTAAAAGTTAGTGGCAATGCTCTGGGGATGGCAATGTGGGTAAGACACTTTGGACATGACGGACGTATGTCTGAAAATCTTTGATGAGATGCCATCAAATCTGGTACAGAAACCCATGGTGCCCAAAGGATGCTTTGAAGATCCTACATTTTTTTCATATTGCATGTCAGAGTTTTCTTTTTCAGAGAAATGTCACAACATCTACTTGATGGCATAAAACTGTTCATCTAGCGTCACCATGAGGCGGACGTTGGGAGCTATTGAATGGATTGCCATGCCATTTCTCCAGATTCCTGTTAGGCTCATATTGTATACTCATACTGTATAATCATCAGTTAAAATCTTAATTCAATTTTTTTCATCCTGAAATGTTCTTTATGTTTAGTGCTGATTAGTAAAGGTTAGCATGCTAATACACTACACTAAGATGGTGAACATGTGAAACATACTAGCTGATAAACATCAGCATGTTAGCATTGTTATTGTGAGCATTTAGCTTAAATATCAGCTTTGCTTTAAGAGCTACTAGCATGTCTATAGACTCTTGTTTAAATGAAAGGCCAATGGAAGAGGAAGATCGTTATTTACAATCAATTCATCATCATTATCATGTTAACAGGCCTCTTCGTAAACACCACGCTGAAAGGTTTATTTGATTTCCAATTAGGATTGAAGGAGTCATGGAATGAAAGAAGAGGTCAAGGAGGCAACAAGATGTTTCTAATCTCTCATTGTTCAGACAGAAAAAAAAGGTAAAATACAGAACAGCAGAAAACATGGGAAGGTTAAGGAAGACTGGAACTAAGTGGAATTTTCAAAGCAGAAAAAAGGACAAATATATGATAATAAAATGTCATGACGCCCAAAGTACTAAGTGAAAGGGATCTGGATGTCCACAAGTCAGTTTTATTCCAGACTCTCAGGCATCCAGCTCTGTTCCCTGCAGTTATCTAACAGACTGACAGGTTCATCGGCCCTGCATCTTCCTTTGAGGCAGAGCAAGGAATAATCTGTTTTATAAAAGGTAGAGATCGAGATAAAAGACCCAGCTACCAAGTGCAGTCATAATCCATCAAAGCAGATGCATACTTGAAACAATAGCTGTGAGTTATTCAATACACACTGGTATAAACAGACGTCCCTATGGAAACGACACTGAGTGAACCCTTGTGTGTGTATCAAGCAGAAAGCAGCCTGAAACAGATTTGGAAATGTGTGTGCAGACATACAAGACTTACAGCATTCTGATCGATGAGCTGCAGTATGTGCTCTCACACCAGAGATGCATTTTCAGTTTGGATATGCCAAGGGTATACCGGTACAGAATACTTTTTGAATTAGGAAGGAGACATTATTTGCTTCTTAAAAGTTTAACTCCTGATGGTAACACAGAGGAGCAAACTTTAAGTTTAAAACATTTTTAGGGATATTTAAAGGTGGGGTAGGTAATTTTGGAGAAACCAGCTCGAGATCGCTAGAATTTGAAAATACACAGCCGGAGAAAATCTGCCACTTCCTTACAGAGCCCCTCCTCCAACACACACGAACGCGCACATGACCAATGAGGGCACGAGATAAGTTTGTGCACAGATGGAAAGCTGACAGGCAGGTAGGCCATCCAGTTATTTTAGCTGGGCCGGCTAAAATGATTGGTCGTACTTTTTACAGTATTACGGCTTCCACAGATGACATTTTTTTATGGATTTTTTGTCAAAGCACTTAAGATATTCATTGCTATCGGGATGTTAAGAGCATTCCATGGAATATAACAAAAAGTGTATCTCGAGCCGGTTTCTCAAACGTACCTACCCTACCTTTAAGGATAGACTAACTGATATATTGCTAATGTCAACAAATGTTCCTCTTCTGTCCATCTTCAACAGTACTAACATTCCCCAAACGTTGGGGATTTTTTTGTGGACTGACTAAGCAGGCAACAAAGTAGAACTGCATGTAACAAGAAAAAAAAGCCTAACCATTTCCCTGGAAAGCTTGACACCTAACATCTTACTCAAATAGGTTTGAATAGTGTATCAGTAAAGAAAACCTCTATTCAACATGTAACACAATGCAAAAAGTGCAGCACATTGATAATCTTTGATAGTTTTGTGGGATATTTTTTAAATGTATGGGACAGATTAAATAACAACCCTAACCATTGAAAACATACATGCTCAGAAACACATACAATAACTTGTTATCTGTGGAATGTCCTGCTGATTGGATCCTTGAGTTCAAAGACAGAAATGGAGAAAATAATGGTGTAATGCTAAGGGATGGAGATTATGAGAGAGGGAGTTGGTAGCTAAGGGCAAGCATGGATGAGACACCATTAGAAATGACCTAGGCTGAAACTGACCTGGGTTGAAACTGACCTGGGTTGAGATGCCGAACAAATACGATTGAGGAGGGGAATTCAGGATGGTAGAAGAGATAATGGTGTCTTACGTAATGGAGAAAATCAAAATCAAAATGGAGAGCATCAAGATCAGAAAGGAGAGCCTGAGACTCCCCTAATAAGAGTATTGCTGGGATGAAAGAGAAGTAGGCTACACACACACACACACACACACACACACACACACACACACACACACACACACACACACACACACACACACACACACACACACACACACACACACACACACACACACACACACACACACACACACACACACACACACACACACACACACTGAAAACAACTGATAAGATCTGTGTATAAAAAGAAGCGTGAACATGGTAAAAGGACGAGGCGCAGTGGGTTGTGCGTTGGTGTTCGAATCAGGAGGTCACAGGTTCAAACCCCACTGCAGTCAGCATGTCGTTGTGTCCCTGGGCAAGACACTTCACCCCAAATTGCTCCAGTGGGGATTGTCCACAGTATTGAGTATGTAAGTCGCTTTGGATAAAAGCGTCTAACAAGTGAAATGTAATGTAAAGGCAGTCACTTCATGAATCTTCAGTAAACTCTATTCTATTGGAACTCTTTTGACTCTGTTGATTTTTTGAAACTTAAATAAGTGTTAACATAGTGTTGTGAAGATCTCGAAGACATTCGGCCAACTTCAGAGGTTTAATCCGCAACAGTTTCTGGACCACAATTAAGGCTCTCTCATAAAGCAATAAGATATACTGTACTGTGTCAGTATTGGTCACACAGACACGTCTTGCATCTCAATGAGACTGGTGAACGACTTATCAATTATTAGATTCGATTGATTTGGACAGACTCACCTTGGCAAATAAATTCCTCCATATTGTCCTTAAAGGGTTGAAGGTTCTCTTCAGAGGAAAACTTGCAAACTTTCTCCGTCTCAGCTGAGCAGGCTGAAAAAACAGGAGATGATCATGGTGAGAGGGGGAAAAGTCTTTCAGAGCAATAATATATTATCCAGCATGTGTGTTGTAATTATAAACTCTACAGTGAACTTCCGGGCCTGCTTTGATAAATCTCTGCTGAGTTTCTGCTGGATAGGTGTCGGGAAAGACATAATGACCCGTAATGAGTGAAAGGCACCCCCAGGAACCAGGAAGGCCTGCGCTCTGATCTCGGGAGGAACGTATCGTCACGCTCTATCTGCAAACATAACGGATACACAAACTCCGCTCAAGTACCTTAGAGGTGGAGAGGCCATGAGGTGCTTGAGGGAATAGGGAGGTTGGGACTGGGCAGTTGGTAATTCATAAACCATATGGTGCCTCAACCTAAAAGGTACACTGCAAACTCTCCACTGTGGGGCTAACTGATGGCCTTCGGGCCCGCCAAGGCCATTTCTGCACCGCCTACTATCGGAACCCCCCTCTGGGAACTGTCATTGAATCCCGTGTCTGTCAGAGCACTCACTGGCTCTGCGAGGTAATGAAGAGGTCTGCAGGTATAGCATGTGATGATGTATTTATGTTCGGACAACATGTGCCACTGCGACTGGGGTCAGAGCAAACGCAAGTCCCCTGCCAGCATCTCCATCTTTATGAATGGCAAATAATGAACAGCCTAAAGACTCATTAAGGGAGAGGAAAAACAATATTTGGCAACACGGATCAGGCACCTGATTGATTTACCAGCAAAGACACATAAAACATGATAGAGAACAGACCAGGTATGGGGAATTGTCTATAGAGCTGCAAGCACACATACACATGTACACAGTCTCACGAGTGCACACATACGCATTCCAAATACACAGTCGTTTTTTACCACCTGTAGGCACTTCAGCCCTTGGAAAGTGTTCTGAGTGCTGAGAGACTGGAGACAGAGTAATGAAAGGGAGCATTTCCCCACAGCCTCGTTCATTAGGACTCTTCACTCAACCAATCATTTTGCATGTCAAGCATAATCCACTTTCCACACATTTTTCCTGACGTCTTGATATGCCATTACATTACTTGTTCATTCTTCGTTTATATGTTAACTCTTTATGCATAGCAAAAGTATTTTCTTTCAGTTTATTACAAAAATGTAACTCAAAGTCATACTCTTCATGATCATGTGTTTTATTACATGTTCACTTCATTGATGGATAAGTCATATTTCAATGGAAATGTACTCTTTGGCTTTCAAACCTTCATACAGTTATTTTATGAAAGTTGTTGGGTTACTTTCGCAAAAATGTTGATGATATAGAGGTTTATCTACTAATAATGAGATAGTCCTGACATTAAAAAAGCTGGTTATTATATAGTGTAAAGTCAGGGAAAGTTATGTAATGGAATAGCCACTACATGTTCACAAACTAATTGAACAAGTGAGTGAGGAATGAAAAAAAGAATGAATTAAAGGTGGGGTAGGTAATTTTGGAGAAACCAGCTCGAGATCGCTAGAATTTGAAAATACACAGCCGGAAAAAATCTGCCACTTCCTTACAGAGCCCCTCCTCCAACACACACGAACGCGCACGTGACCAATGAGGGCACGAGATAAGTTTGTGCACAGATGGAAGGCTGACAGGCAGGTAGGCCATCCAGTTATTTTAGCCGGGCCGATGATTGGTCGTGCTTTTTACAGTACTACGGCTTCCACAGATGACATTTTTTTATGGATTTTTTGTCAAAGCACTTAAGATATTAATTGCTATCGGGATATTAAGAGCATTCCATGGAATATAACAAAAAGTGTATCTCGAGCCGGTTTCTCAAACTTACCTACCCCACCTTTAAGAGTCAAAGAGTCAGCCTTTAAAAAAATCAGTGCATCCAGAAATCATATTTAAGGGACCCTTGGCAAAGGTGCACAGCATGCACAGAGACATGTAGGAGTATATAGTAGTTCTATGAAAAACATTCTCATTGTTGTGTTTGGAGGTTTGCGGCGTGCAGGGTGAGTTGATATAGAGCTCCAGGAGAGCCTCCTCTGGTTCATTGAAAGACGGTGAACCATTGGTGTACACAGGCAGTGGAAGTCTCTCTGACCTTGCCCCCTCTATATTTTGATCTCTATTTCATGAGGACAGTGAAGGCACACCAGGTCCAACAGGAGTCCACATCTGAAGTCACATCTGCTTCTGGTTAGCTCGTCTGTAGGACAAACAGATGCTATCTCTCTGTTGACCCGCCTCTACGATCAGCACATGACCATAGCTGGTCAGGTTTGGAAAATTATTTTCCATTGTGCTAGAAGACGTGTGCATGGATTAATACATACACGATTGCTCAATACATTTCCATGAGATGGTATCTTAAACATGATATGACACCTGACATCATTTGCAGGATACGGCATGGACAAGTTTACTATCTGGTGAACTTGTGTTTTGGATGTGCTTAAACAGAGGGGAGAAATGTGGAACAAAAGATGTACGACAATACCATTGAGGTCTTTCTTTAGCTTGCGCAGATCTCTTTGAAAGTCCTCAAACTTCATCTGGGAGGCCTGGAAAAGGTCCTGGGGCTCGGGCAGAGAGTAGACACACGTCTCTCTACCAGCATCCTGGTAAAGCACAAAACACATTCATGCAAACAAAAAAAACACGCCAGTGTCAAAGTCAATCTTTCTCAAATGGGAGAGGGCCCCTCTAGTATATACCATACAGAAGAGGCAAGATTGAAATAAATGTCTTCAGAGCTCTACATGTTTTTATCAGCCGTCCAAACATCACAGAGAAGATATGGCTGGAACTACAGCAGATAATGACCAATACGCTTGGTGCAGAAAGAGCACTGCAATCCTCATTATAAGAGTTATAAGGCCATTATTAGTGCTACAGCCATGTCATGCAGGTTGATTTTGGCAACAGCACTCTACTGAGTTCATCTCATCTGGAGAACCTAATTATTTACGCTAGCGCTCCTTTGGATGTTGTGCCAATGAGCAGACTGCAGGTTTGAATGAACCCAGACGAAAACAGAGCGAGAGATGAAGAGTGAAAGACAGAAAGAGAATAATAAGAGAGAGCCAAGGAGAAAGGGAGTTATTTGTTTCTGCCGTAAAAAAGGAACGAGAAAATAAATAATTTGATAGAGGATAAGCCATAGTATCCTCTGGCAAGAGAGGAGATGAAAAGAGAGCTCTGGAAGGATTTCTAAGCAAATCAGACTAAAACAGAAAAGTGATTCAAATAAACAGGAACCAAAACATACCTCATCAAAGTGCCTTAGATAGTAAGCAACAATGTAGGACAAAAGACTCTGGGAGTTATCCTGAAAGAGAGAAAAAAAGATCCAAATAAATAAACCCCTTTATTTATTAATTTAATCATTTCGGAGCAGGACGTTTTAATTTGTGCGTGGCAAACAAGAATAGAGACAGCGGTTATAGAAGTCGGGGATAAATCATGGCATTGGAAGAAGCACTACAACAAAACATATCTGCTGGGCTGGCTGTCATAACTTAGAGTTGGTGGAAAGTTTGATGTTCTTTATGGATACCTTACCCGGTCCACAAAAACACAAACCACTGTGTCCTTGTATGGCAGTGCCAAGGACACGCTGAGACTGTTGTAATATTAAATAAGAAGAGTAAACAGAAAGGCCTCTCCTCTAAATCTGCACGCCAATGGTCCTTATGTGGGGCAGCAATGAAGGTCCCTTTCAACTCCTGGACTTTAAGCTCTTGGCTCGACCATACGCGATTAACATTTGGAGTCACCATTTGCACACACAACATTTTTCGAGAACAATGTGAATTATAAATAAAGCGGTTTCTGTGGGAACTCATACCCTTTACATATTTAAACGTTTTTACCATGCAATCCAGTCTCCTGTTTTCTTGTGAATAACACTTCATTACGTGTCTACTCTTAAGAGTGAGTGATGTTTGCTTTTACTCCTGTAACACAAAGACTCACACTGCTCTTAACGTCCTTCAGTTTTGGCAGAATGTCCAAGGTGAAGCCGTCGGCCTGCCCTCGAGACCGATTACCTCCGTTCATGAAGTTGCCAAAAGCCAGAACCAAGCCAAGCACCTGCAATACACACTTACCATCCTGGATAGTCTGGTACACACACACACACGAACAAACGAAGGAGATGAAGACGTGAAGGTTAAATTGAGTGATGGAAAAGTAAATGAAACAAAAAGAGGGCCAGCGGCTCACCTTGCAAACTCTCTGAAGGATTTCTACTTTGCGGAGGATTGAGGTGATACACTCATGGAAAGTTGACTGAAACAGGATGCAGAACACTCGTTCAGAGAAGTTGGGGATTTGGGATAACTGGAATAGAAACCTGATGAAGGCACAAGATCAGTCACTTTAACACATCTGTTTAATGACACAGCTCTCATGTAATGAACTTGGTTGAAGGAAAGTCTGGCTCTTACTGTTCAGGCTTGTCCAGTGGCTTGGCATCCTCCTTGTCTTGTGATGATTTAATATGCTTTGTAATGCCATCCAACTCATCATTTTGAGCTCTCTGTCAAATGAAAATGCAGATTTAAGAACAGGATGAAATAAAAAAAGACAAATTATAAGAATGTATTGTTTTGTAGGCTTAGCTCTCTATTTCTTTTTTTTTTTTTTTTTTTTTAAACCTTTATTTATTCAGGTTGTATCCCATTGAGATCATTGACCTCTTTTTCAAGGGAGACCTGCAAATCTGCATTTTCTCCAATCTCTTAATGGAGAAAATCTTTACCTCAAGTGTTAAGAATTTAGCTGGTTAACCTTAAACTCCACTCAATGGCCATCTATACAGTATAGGTTTCATAAATGCTAAAGTGTTTTATATAAGGTGGTATAAAAAAGCAGGCCAGAAATGCCCCCTTCGTTTCACAAGAGACAAAGACAATAGATTGAAATGCGTAAACGGGCAAAACAAAAAATCCCCAGGAAGAGAATGTAAACTCTTTCTGTCCCTCCATAGACCCCTGAAGTCTGAGTGTCAGCCCTCTGTTTCTCTCCATCGTTCTCTCTATGGTTTGGCCTTTTCATGGATCCTTGGAAAACATCAAACACCAGCATCAAACGCACGGAGGGCCCGATTAGTATTCTACACACCGCTGCCTTCTGTCGACGAGGGCAAACTCTCCTTCGCCTTCTCTTGAGATGTTTTCAAGTGTAAATATATTTAATACAAAGCAGATCCTTTTCAAAGGGCAGCAGTGGAGCCCAGCAGTGTTTGGTGTAATTGGGGACAAGTAGGCATTAGCGTGTGATCTTTGAATTGCTAGGGCATGTTGCAGTGGTTGTTAGCATGAGAAAAATACAGTCCCATGTGGAATATCAAATGCAAAGGAAGGTAGGATGACATTTGTGATGCCAGAAATCTAGTGGTAGCTGAGTGGTATTCATTAGCCAGGTTTCTAGTATAGGACTAAACAGAGCCAGCCTGGGCTTAAATCACTATTTATGTCACTCATTTTCAACAGACCAACATTTATGAGATTATTTGTACATTGAGCTGCCAAAGAACAGTGTTCAAATGACAAATGTAATCATGTTATACAAATATATCAACATATATAAGACACTGTAAGGCCTATATTGTGACATCACAATGCCTTGTCGTAAAAAAAAAACAACCTGAGGCAATTATTTGTAGTATAAAAGTTCGTAGGAGGGCTTTAACTGACCTCCATGACATTTAGCTACCGTCAGCTGAGAGAGAGTCTGAACTTCAGACAGCCAGTCTGGACCCAGATTATAGCTTGTGATATTGGAGGGGAGGGAGTGTTGTCCCACTATCACTGTGACCCCTTTAATGGCGGTGGCTTATTGTTCAAAGAACAGGAGTGGCTGTAATCCGCAGCTCATAGACTGAGTGACTCTGTCCCTGTGTGTGTTTCTGTCCCTGTGTGCATACAGTACAGTATGCACACATTTGTGTGGGTCAAAGTGTTTGTTTGTGAGTATGTTTGTGTGTGTGAGAGAGTAAAAGAGAGTGAGGGAGAACAGTGTGTGATCTCGCTCCTTGCACAGTGAGTGAGGGTGTAACCATTAGAAGCCCCTCGCATTCCTCAAGACAGGCTGACTGTGCTGCCAACTGTGGTTTAGGGGGCTGGAGACCCACAGACAGGATGGAGTCTCGCAATACAAAAGAGAAACAATTTGGCTCCTCAACTCAATAACATAGCCTTAGGCCATAAGGGGGAGAAGCAGAGAGAGGGAGAGGGCTTGAAGTCTTGGGGTGAGTGGAGAGGTTAGAAGACTTTTGATCCTCAGTTATGACACATTGGTTCATAACTACAGCTTGTCTCGAGCCATAGTCTCATTCCCATGATCAACATTATTAATATGCCTCTGGCAGCCAAAGGTCCAGGCCTCCCTGTGTAGTTGTGCCAAAAAGCAATTCACAGGAATTTCACAGCATCTTAAAACTGTATAACAGCTGAAATATGGAAAACATGTCGTTTTCATGTTCCATTATTTACTGACCTGACTTAGAACGGGTCCTGACCCGTTTCACTGGGCGGGGGGATATTTCCTATCAGTGAGGGGTGATGAATATGTATTTACTGTGTACAAGGAACCCTTCATGGTCGAAATGGAGACATATTGGAGTAGTGACAGCTCTGTAATTCCCTTTATGCTAATATCGTACGATAAAATGTGGTCGTTTCACTTGGCAAGGCTCAGTGTAGTCTCTCTCTTTTTTCATTTGAAAAACAAACCTGCACTTTCAAGAAGAGTTGTGTGAGACAAAAGCTGGAGTTTCTCAACTATCATTTCTTTTGCACTGGTGCGTTACAAAAATCAAGTCAATCAGAGCCAGTGTGAAGAAAAAGCATGTTTACTATGTGAAAGCGTTGGTCGCCTTCAAGGCCGGCAGACAGACCTACACAAGACTGACTGTGTGTCGCCAAACAGCACACATACCAGTTCGGTTTGTGGCTCGCCTGTTTGTTTTGGTATCTAATGCACACTTCCTTTAGTTCACCCTTTCAAGTGGAACATGGAATAAGAACTCCACAATGAAATACGTTCATATTAAAGTGACATCTCTGACTCACTGAACAAAAACAACATTGCTTGAAATTATAAACACATAAATTAAATTAAAAGGCATGTTTTTTTCTTACCTACACTGTATGTTAAAAGTTCAGGATCGTATAATCTTGGAGAGGTATCTTTTGATGGATAGCTGTTGGTGTTTTGTGGCTTTTTCTCAGGAAAGTGCCAAATAAAACAACACTAATAGCTGATGAATGATTTTGTTTTGCCTTTTTGTTGATATCACAGCATGTTGAGTCTTCTTAGGTTTCACTCTATAATAAAATGATTGCCTGTTATTCATATATGGCATGAAATGTGTAACCATAAATCACTGTATTTGTCACAAGCAAACTGTTCCATAATAATACTTCTACTGCAAACCACAGAGGAGAAACAAAAAAGACTGTAGGGTTTTCCCACACCAAATACTGCAGTCAAGATTAGCCTGAGCTGTCAGTGGTGTTAGTTTGTATAATTATACTGGGTTTGTTGCTCAACACTGTGTATTTATATGGGTCTGCATTGGCAGGAAAGGGCAGAAATGTATTCCAGTTTGGGATATTGTCTTTTCACGAGTCTATTGACTTTACTGAAACCACTGTCCACATCAGCCTTATCATCCTCCATTCAAAGTCAAAAAAGTGAAGAGAAATGTTTATGAATGCTGAAACCACAAAGACACAGCTCTATATTCCAAGTAGCTCAGATTGTTGTACTTACATTTTCATAAAGGGCTTGCAGAGTCTCCAGATCAACCACAGTGTTGTCCATATTTAGGACGGCTGTGTATGGAAGGAGAGGATGACATGGTTAATGTTAACACTAACAGGCCTCCACTTTTATAATCTCTAGATAACAATATTTTCCTTGGATGTAACAACAATCTCAAACATTGGCAGAACAACTTTTCAGAGCTTAAGGTGGCATGAAACAAGGGCAAAATTCTCCTTGCAACCCTAAATACAGCGTCATGTGCCGTGTGCTGTGAGTTACATAGATATCAACTCTCATCAATACAGCAAGGAAGGGGCCACCAACTCAAACATAAATACAGAGGTCTTAGAAACCTGTCAAAGGTACAAAGATCTGTGTTTGAACTCCTGTGTTTGAATTCCTTGTGTCGCCTTTTTGTCTCGGCGCGAGGACCTGGCGCCCGTGAGCATTAATCCTTTGAAAGTAAATGTTTAAAGACAAACAGAGCCCGGGGGTCTGCCGTGTTGAGGCTGAGGTGTTGCTGTATGCACAATCACCCAGTGAAGCACTCGACACCTATATATGTATTTCACCGTGATGTGGGTGTCCAAATTACTCACATTGTTTTGATCTGCTGATTTGCTGTTGAAGTACGGGGGGGAAAGCTAGTGTCAGAAGGGATAAAGGAACCTGGGAGTAATGGACTCAATGCACAATGTTCACTTCGCATCACATCATGCTTGGACATTGAGTGTGACTGGACTCCTTATAAGCTTTTCACAGACTTAAAAAGAAAAAAAGAGAGCATTATAAACCTAAATTAGAGACAGGACATGCATTTGGAAAAAGGCCTCGAGTGACTGCTGTACTGACTCAGTTCTGTCTCATGTTTTCAGCTTTGATATTGCTTTATCTCTCCTTATGTAATCATACAACCTTTTTAATATCTTCACTCTTGTGCCACAAGGGCAGATCCACTTCTTTCTCAGCTCTTTACTGTCACTCTAACTTCCACACACTCTCTCCTCGTCGCCAGAGAAATACCTTCTTGCTTTCTGACTTTCCCATTTTTCCCATTTATCGCATTCTTCTTTTGTAACCATTTGGTTTTTATTACTATCTGAAACAAAGTGTGACTGGCTGGTTTGATTTGAGTCAGCTTTCTTAAAAGACGCAGGAGAAAGCTGTATCATCTCTCTGACACAGACCCATATCCCTGGGTCTACCCCGACTACCACATTCAACCCCAGCGTGGGTCCGGAAAACAACAAAATAATACTGTGACTGGCGTTTCAAAGCCTCACAGGAAGCAGACATTGATCGGATGTGTCTTGTGAAACACGCAAAGTGTCAGCCAGGACTCACAACAAACAACAACAACAGCAGTGAGGAAACCGGAAATGTTTTCACCTCTTACTGAGTATTACAAGAGACACGATCGAAATCATTGATCCCAAAGTTGTTTTTCGAGTCAAAGATGCTAGTCGTCACAGGATTAAGAGGGAATAAGACATGATTCACTATACTGAAAGGGGCAATTACAACGTTTTGCTTTGTGAATCATTCCTTTTTGTAAATACATTTGCGTTGATTTTTTAATCATCTTAACCCTCGAACAGCACAAGGGGACATGAGATCATCTCAGGAATGGGAAAACAAAGCGTTGCTAATACTGTATGTAATCTGTTGGGGTTTGTTCTATGGTGAAATAATAAGTATGTACAATTAAATGCATGACAAAGTACATAAGAAATCATATTTTTGGGTTACTTTGTTTGTGCAAGGCATTGTTTTGGGAATAACAAGACATATCAAGAAGTACGTCACCAACAAACTATTGGGATATAGCCACTCAGCTCTTACTCTCCATGAGGTACTGAAGTTTCCAATCAGTGCTAATTATGCACTTTGGTAAAAACTGTCCTAACAAAGGAGACGAATGACAGTGCTGATGAGAGTGGCCCTCACTTGCCCTCCCACTCTGACCTGAGATGGATGCACCAAAGACTCAGAGATCCTGAAGAATGAAAATCCCCAAAACACTTTGAAGATACTGTACTTCTTAATTAACTGGTAATGGATAGAAGTGTACAATATACCCGTTTTCTGTGGTACACATTTATTTTAATGTAATATACCAAGCTGCCATTGAGACACAGATTTGAAGCTGTAATAACGCCTCTATTGTAGGGGGACTGAAAAGGACGGGGAGATGAGAAAGAGTGTTTAGACACATGGATGAGCGAAGACTGGAGAGCAATCAGAGAGTAACTAAAACAGGAAAACAGTCTGTTCCCATCAACATCTCCTGAATGACTTCACTTTAACAAAGCCGCTTAGACAAGACGGTGACGACTCATCAAAGAAAGACAGAGAGCCGCGCAGAAACACGATGTGGATGTGAGATGGGGAGAGATTATGCAAAATGAGAGCAAAGAAAAACAGATGGGGGAGAGCAACAAAGGAAAAACATTTCAGATGCCTTGCAACATTATGACTTGTGATAAAGCTAACTATGGGGAAGTTTAATCTTCGGCAATGACCTCAGCATATACTCATTGTTACTCACGTCACTATCCAGCAGACTCAGAACAAGATGTCTTTAGCAGATTGAGATAGAGGCGCTCCAATAAACAACAAGAAAAACCTGGCCATCATTTCAATGTTGTACACAAAGGGTGTTTCAAATATGTTTTTGGTTTATGGATGTTTTGATGTCAGTGCTCAGTCTTTACAGGGGGCTTTTTTTTTAAGTGCCCTTTTTAATTGTTTCACGCTCAGTTTGATTTATGTAAAGTACTTTGTCACTCTAGTTTTTCAAATTGATATATCAAAAGGTTAAGTTATATAACATCTACGTTCTATAGTGCGCAGACGCATTACACTGTTTCCAATTGTTTTCTTGAACTCAAAGGGTTTAAGGAAGATAAGTTCAGATGTATTGATCAATATTGAGGACTTGATGATAACACTTACCATTCTGGATGTCCTTCATATCAAGATGGATGCTGGACATCAGAATACCCACAGCCTGTGAACGCTTGTTGTTTAAGAGCTTCACCACCTAAGAGTTGAAGAGACAAAGGCCAAAGAGAACAGGGATGATGATATGCCATAAACCCAGACATGTCCGCACACGTGCAGACAATACATTTAATAACTGACTGGAAACAAAAGACAGGAGAATCACTCCCTTTGTTCTGGTTTTTTCTGTGGGAGGAAAGCAAGAGACCATTTACCCGCAACATTAGTGAAATTAAAAGGCTGTCAGCTGAATTATGATGATTAACAATTTCTGCTTTTCCTCAAATTCTCCACATCCATCATCTTAAAGCCATGCAAATAAAAACATTTACTCAACATGAAGCATGTTTGCAAAACGGAATGTGATCACACCGAGTCCTGTGACTGATTAAATATACAGAGGTTGGTTTTGGTATACTATATGTTATATAAAATTGCACAATGCAGGGGTGTTTTTCTAAAGCAAACATGAACATAATAACTTGTCAAAACTATCGTATCTCCAGATGGAAATGGCTCCTAAAGTTGTAATACTAACAAATGTTATCAAAATAATAATTACTTCAAATTGTCATACAGCCAGGAGTTGAATATCAAGCTAGTGTTGTTATTCTGTAAGATAAACTGCAACCAAGAGGGCCATTATGAACCACAGATCGCCTGAGTAAGCAGAAGTGTGCGCTGGGTAGCAAAGTGACGGGACAGGACAGGAAACCCATAGCCAACTGTGATCCAGACAGAACGCTTCCATCTCAACCAGATCACACAGACCACAGACCTCTCCAACACACAGGAAGTTATATCAGCCCAAACTGTCTCTGTTTTCCCGGCACAACCACAGCTTCAGGGGTTAGGACCCATTGAGATATGATGCGGAATGTCCTCCAGAGTAAGACTGTGATATCTAATGAAGGGAAGCTGCTTAATGACAGTGCCAAAATAAGTCATTAGTCATGTTTTATCAGCTGACCTGACTCTGCAAAATGCACTTTAAGGTTAAACTTACATAAAACAGATTTCAGTGGTTAACTACCGAGGAGAGCTGCCTGATATAACAGAGGTTCAATCTAAAACGGAAATGCCCTTGCAGTGCCTCAATAGTATTATTTCATAATGAAACACAGCTGGATCCATGAAACACTCTAGTTTTTAATATTATTTTCATGACAAACACATCAAAACAACACCCACAATTGATGCCGTACAGTGTCTTTCAACATTCATAGTAAATCCATGTGTCTACGTTTTTGATTTAGAGAAATAATTTGATTCAAATTCATTTGATGTGGATTATTAACACATTTATAATTTAAGGTTTGACCAATATTGACTTTCTCATCAATCACATTCAGCTCTGTGAGAAAGTAAAACATTTCATTTCAAAAGAAGCTGAAAAAAAGGCTTGAAAATGAAACAGTTTGCAACGAATTATTACTTATTTTTGAATATTTTTGTCATTTAACTTTTGGTTCAAAGATTGAGTTTTTGAGGATTGAGGTAATGTATTAAAAAGACTCACCTACAGTTCCTTTTCTTCTGAAAAAGCAATTTTATACTGTATAAATGCTCTTAATATATTTGAGATATATACTGCAACAAAACCCAGCAATATTACTAATATCTTTCTGACCTTTCATGGTGCTTATAGATTGGGAAAGATGTGTTGTGAATTAAAGCTCAACAGTTTTAGACCTTAAAAGCCCCTGGATTCGTGGATTGACAGAAAATGAATCTGCAACTACTTTCATAATTAATTAATTATTTAAATAATAGTAAAACACAAATATTCCACAGTTTCAGCTTCTTAACTGTGAGGATATATTACAGATGTAATATATTTGGGTTTTGGACTGTTGTCCGACAACAGCATGTGTCAGTGTTGTATAACAATGTATAATCTAAATTACTCTGTTAGGAAGATAAATAGAGAAAGTAATTATAGGATTAGACAGTAAAGATAATAATGCCCTACAGCAATTTCCATCGTCCATTGACCGGCTTCTTTTATGTGGAATGCAAAATATCATAGAGATGCATAGAAGCATTGATTTGATCATAAGTTAAACAATCTTTAAAGCGGAAAAAAGTTGAGCACTCGTCAAAATACTGCTGGATTGACCTCAAATTGCATGAAACAAAGGCACAACATCTTCGAACAGATGCACATTACATACTCTAGCATCATATTACATGGCCTCACTACACCTCTGTATGCAAACAGCATCAACTGTAACACAGCTCATCTTTTAAACCACTCTGCAGATAGACAGCTACACTTGAAAAAGAGAGTATTTCTTCACATCTGATACTCATGTGAGCAGAGGCCTTTACACAGAGTACTGACGTCAGAGCTGCTCTCTAGTGGTAGCTCTGGAGAGGATGCTTGTCCCCTCTCATCAGTGAAACAGCTGAACTCAGGACTGGAATAGCTGCGAGTAGTAGATGTGAGAGATCGTCATGAGGCATTGGGGCGGTGCTCCTGAACTCTAAATGTCACAGGTTGGCTTCAAATTGGGGTCAATCACGGATCTCGGTATGATTTCATTTTTCTGTTATGGACTTCAACCTCAGCATTACTTTTGTGTTGTGAACAGCAGTATCATGCAGTGATGACCGAGGGAATTCAACCCACACCCACCTCAATGTGTCTCCTGTCCCTGGTAATTTAGCAATACAACCACAACACGAGCTGCTTCATGATGTGGAAGCCGACTCAAATCACCAAAAATTAGAACATCGCATAAAGGAAAAGTCTATTTAAATAGAGAATGGGGTACTCATTTTGGTAGTTCCCCGTTTCCCTTTCATATATCGTCATATATACCTAAATTCACAGGTGTATTGCTCTTTACAGAAGCGAATTCCCTCTATATGATCTCTCGGTTGTCGAAAAACCACCTGACAGCTCCTTCATAAGGCTGAAAGACAGCTTTTTCTGACGTTTGTTTGAAAAGGAGTTCCTGTTTGAGTGAGTGATTTTCTTGTGAAGGGCAAACTTTCCCAGCTTATCTAACGTTATACTTTTTGTTGCCATATAGGATCAAAGCTGCAAGGCGATATGTATTCTCCACTATGCTATATAGGGCCTTTAACTTAGCTACTGCAGTTACCAAGTCACTTCCTGGTGTTTTATTTTATTTTACTTTTTGGGCCACTTTCGAAAAAGCATTCTTAAAGCAGTAAAAATGAAAGGTGGAAGAAATAGAGAAGCTCAAATGTATCCAGTAGACTTTAAAACTACAATAAAGGGTCCATTAAATTCTCCACACCCATTGACCATAGACAATGTAGCAAAGACAACATTTAGAAAGTATAACAATTATGTAATTTGACATCAGAAACTACTCTGTTAAAAACACATTTTCATGATAAATTATGTTAAGGCATTCAACAATTGTTTTGGAACATTATATTTGTAAATGTTTTGGTGCAAAGCTTCAACTAATCACTTCCACAAACTTAGAAGATTTTCCACATGTTGGCAACAATTATTGGTTTGGGTCTGAATAACAAGGAGGACATTTTGCTCCCTGGTGTGACATTATTGTGATTTAGACACATCATTTGGGCTCATTTGATGGAGTTGCATAGGGGCATTGGGGAGGCAAACAGTCGGGCTATTAAACTAAGTCATACAGAAAGCACAATGGGAGGAACCACATCACGAAATACAGCTCCCAGGCTTCTCCCCCCCCCCCCCCCCCTCCTTTTTTCCTTTTCTCCCCACACTCTCTCTCTTTCTCTTAACAGTCATCACCGTCGTGAAGTTTCCTTACCGCACGCGAGACATTGGCTCGGTGCCACTGGATGGTCACGGGGGAGTCGGGTGGGAGCCAGAGCTCACACCACATAATAACTGTCTGGCTGTAGTAGTTCCTCCTGTCACTCAATGCAACTCAGAGAGCGACAGTGAGGACAAATGGGAAAGAAACGAGGCATCAGAGGAGTGAGAGTGAAGATGGGAAAAAGCCCTGAAGAGAAGCCATATTTGGTGACCCAGAGGGATATGCAAACACACACATCCTTTCATAGATAAGCAAGTCGGCAAAGATGTAGTATACACTTCTGGATGTTTACTGTATAGACAAGGAAAGGAACACACAACTATAAAACACACTGTACTTCACCTGCTTGGCCTTTGACTTGCTGATTGTGTCGGAAATTGGCTTTTTCTTCACCTTAACAGCACCTTTGGAGAATAGATCAACAAATTCTTCAAAGTCTACACTTGGTTCTTCGATTGTCTCCCACACCAGTGCACTGGACCTAAAGATAGGGGGGGGGGAAGAGGACATTATGACAGTATATTGTTTGAATACGTGGAGTGAATTCCTCTTTTATAGCGTAATGCCAGTTTTTATTTCTGACATTTCTAGATTGTCTTCAGCTTAGTACTCATTTGTCATCTTTTGCAGCATATAAATCAACTCAATACACTTTTCAAATATGTCAGCTAACACATTACATTTAAAAGTTTCTAAATTGAAGTCTATTTCAAGACCTCTATTCAGCTACACATTTCCAAGCCTTATTAAGGAAAGAAAACCTGGTTCAAGTAAATCCGCTGCTGACCACAATGCCTGGACTGCATCACTTTCATTTTCCGCAAGGTTAGCATCTCTATAGCCTTCAGAGCACGTGCTGATCTTTATCTTAAGTGGACAAGCTTCCTCTACTGTTCAGTAAATACCTTAGTGCAAATGATCCATATCTATCTTCACGTTATACAGCATGGCCTTACTTTTTAGTATTCAGCTGTATGCGTGTCCAGTAGAGGGGCTTCATTGGCTTGGGGGGCTCGATCATAGCCTTGGCAAGGGCAGCTTCCTGCACCGCCATGGAGGGCATAAAGCCTGGTGGTGGTGGAGGCCCAAAGCCCGGGGCCGGCGGTGGAGGAGGGGGTCCCATTCCAGGGGGAGGAGGTGGTGGAGGTGGGCCCATACCCGGCGGGGGAGGAGGTGGGGGTGGAGGTCCAGAACCAGGAGGAGGAGGGGGTGGAGGAGGTCCAAAACCTGGTGGTGGAGGAGGAGGAGGAGGAGGAGGGGGAGGCGGAGGTGGACAAGGTCCAAACCCGGGTAAGGGCGGGGGAGGTGGTGGGGGGGGAGGAGGAGCGACACCCCCTGGTAAAGGTGGTGGGGGTGGTGGTGGAGGTGGGGGAGTTTGATGGGCCCTGCTCTGTTGTCTCTGCTGGCACGTGCAGACAAAGCTCTCTGTAGATTTGGGGATGGAGGATGAAACAGGAGACGGCACGCTGCCTGATCCTCTGCTGAAAGGCACGTCAAACTTAAAGCCCTCCCCCACAGGTGAGGTCTGGACAGACACCTCCTGGCTCATCTTCCCCAATCTTCCTCCCGTCACCTGTGAGGCCTTGTGGTGGGAAGCACCCAGAGATCCAGTATTATCAGCGCTGCCCTTTGCCAAAGAAGCCTGCTGGCCCTGCAACACAGCAATCTTAATCCGCAGGTCATCGATGGTCCGCTCCAGCTGAGGGATGACACAGCTTTCATCCTCCAAGGACGACTGACCTGACTTCAACCTGCTGGAGTCTGTCTGTCAGTGAACACAAAACAAGATATTAACTTAGCATGCAACTACATTTGGGTTCACTAAAGGAAACTCAAGTAAATGAGTGTGATGCTGTGAGTTTGTGCTTTTGATAAATGAAACCATCTTTGAAAGCAGACAGTCAAGCATATTTTGGACTAAGCAGACTCTTGGACACATAATCATTAAATAAATTATGCTTTATGAACAGTACAACACCCACAAATGAGGGGGCTTAGCGACAGAGCTGTGATCAAAAGAAGGGTCGAGAGAGTCCATTATGTCTACTCCAGCAGACCCCTGGCTCCAGACTGGTTAGAGCGGCATGAGGAGATACCGAGAGATTTGACCCCAGAGACAGAGAGTCTCGTCGGGCCTGACATGGGCAGGGCCTATGTCTGCTAGTACACATTCCCCAGTTGTGGTCACATCGTTGAATCTAAAGGAAAATGTGCAGTAAGTATAGCCTTCCTAATGTATTAACTCCTCTAGGAAACAGTGAGGTTCACTGTAATAATCTAACAAGTCTTTCAAGACAAGCCTGGCCTCTAGTGGACACAGAGCAGTTTACAGCTGAGCTCTGTGGCTGATGCAGATTACAGAAACAATGCAGATTTATGAGACTGGGTTTGAGCAATTTCTCAACACTTTCACAGGTTGTATAGGTATTGTCTCAGATTTCAAATCGAGATCAAAGAAAAAAATGTCCTGTATTGACTAAATGTGTTGTGAAAGCTCATGAAACACTGAGATTTGACCCCACTTTGGCCCCCCTCCGAAAGAAGAAACTATGATAATACCATTTGTGACGGTGTTAAAGCAAAGACTGTGCTTTAATTTGAGACAAAGTTAAATCAGTTTTTAATAAGGTAATTTAATAACATTTTTGAATAACTTACTGAAATAAATACTTATCGTGGTATTTTATGGTGTTATACTATATACTGAACTATATATATGTTTCAATCTTGAACACTGTCTTTGTCTCTTTTTACCGGCATTTAATGTGCCCCTGTCATAAATAACTGGCCCCAGCACAGCCCCAGAAATTGGTCTAGATCTGCCACTGACAAAACCAAAAACAACATTTGCATGTACCGATGATAGTTACTGATTTTAGTTGACACTACAATAAATCAAATCCAATATTATGCACAAAGGGGAAAACTGGGCAATCATGCAGTAAAATATTACTAGATGTAGAGGAGATGTAACTAACCTGAGCAGGTAGAGCTCCTGGGGTCTTGGCTGATTGATGCAAACATGATCTCAAGCTTTGTTCTCTGCCTGTGGGTCGCCCCCCATACAGTTCCCACAGGTGAGAGGAAACTGGCAGGCCGACAGATGCCCAGGTGTACAGCTGCTCATCCTGCAAACAGTTTAGAAAACAAGCAAGCACATTTACTGTAAAGGAGATCAGACGTCTTAAAACGACATGCTCCAACCAAGTACTACTACCAACATATTCCCAACAGTGTGAACACATGGTGGGATCCAATAAAAGTGTAACAACATCCACAGGGGATATGAGTCAAGTAGAAGCTTTTTATGAACGCTTCAAGAGTGGAAACACCTGAGAATAAAAACAGCAGTCGAACAATAAAGGCTTATCCCTTTTGCATAGTCAATGTGACACACAGTCAAACATATTGAGACATTCAAATCAATTCTCCGCTTTTTGAAGCATCTTAACTTAAAACGCACAATAGAAAATGGTGAATGATTTGGAGGACCTGTTGAATCTCATTTGTTAAAGGCTGAGCATCAATGGTATTAGATAAAAACGGAGCAAAAAAACACAATTGTTCCTGCATCTCCCCTCTTCATCTTTCTTCAAAGACAACACCAGACACTATAATGAGCACCACAAAAAATGTAAACAAAGTGTGTAGTGGTAAAAGTCTAAAATAAACAAACCAAACTTTCCCTGATTTTCTATAATACTTTTTATTTTACCAATAAAAAAGCAATTATTTCCAAGCAGACTGGGAGTTAGAACTTAATGCCATGCAGTGACACTACATGCGTATACACAGCAGTGTTAATCAAGTCATTATCCAGTGAGATCACATACATGTGCTACATTTGCTGAGAAGAAAACCCTCAGTACAAAACCCATTATGTGTTAAGGTAACCTGACCTACAGCCAGAAACAAACACACACAATGTACAGATCGATGGAAGCCCATGCTACCTATCCTCCTAAAACCTTATTTTAGATTGAATGAAGCTGATGAAGTATTGAATTTCAGGCAGTATGCAGAACAAGAAACGAACAAGTCGTACATTTATTCACTTCAGCAAAGTAGTGACATTGGATGCAATATTATATTTAGGTAGCAAAGAGGAGGACATACAGTATAGAAGAGGAGAGATTAAGATGGAAATAGGGAGATAGAACAAGGACATTTAGAAAGAGATTGTTTTCAAGATGTAATGTAACTGTAAATTAAAGAAGAAATATGTAAATAGAAATAATGAATGGGGCTAAAGGTTTCAGGGAAGCAGAAACAGAGCGTGATCATTAATTTCAAAAGGGACATTAACAATAACACAGGATCTGTACTCCGAATGGCAACATCAAAGGTTGTTCTTGATCAAGCTGAAAAATGCAGGACTCCAGGCCAAAAGCAGAGAATGAGGACAAAACAAAAAAAGAACGACAACATAAAAGGGGGGTGGGCTCAAAGAGTGCTACTCTGACATGGTGAGCTTTCTGCTGGGGAAGAGCAGCCTGAGCCCAAAGCACGTGGAATTGTTACATAACATGGTCAGCAGATGGTCTACGCAAGCACAGAGTGTCAGAGCGACTGCTATTAATCCAGCCATGCGAGGAAATGCCTGAATATGTACGAGTGTCTGGGTCTGTCCTTTTGTAAATATGAGTGCACACGGGGCAAAATTGTACATAAAAAGCTCTGCACTTTGTGACCTATTGTGACAACACACTGAGCAAGAAGAATAAGATATAACTGCATTTGAGGGGATTGGTATTTATAAAGCATGCATGTTCTGGTGAATGTTTATTTGTTTGTGTTTAGGTAATGCATATCATACTTTGTGCATGTGTGCATGTACAATGTAAGTCTATGAATAAACATCTGTGGGGGAGGTGCATTTTCCACTAGAGCCACACTAATCTGTTCACATTCTTTGGTATAAAACAGACAAAATAATACGAGTCAACAGCTCTGTGAGGCATACTCAGATAAACACTAAACACTAATAAACACAAGTCAAATGGATCAACAAAGTGATTACAACTCATCTTGTGGCGAGCATGATTATCTGTTGCATGCCAATCAATTTAACAGTCGTTGAGATATTTCACTCAAAAAGTGGACTCTATTGGACCATAAATGTCTGTACAAATGTTTTTTAAATTAATGCTGTAAGACTTCAATCTTGAGATATTTCACTGAATAAGTGACAACTCCTGATTCTGGTGCTAGAGAGAAAGTGAGGGATTTATCATCTGGGCACAATGAATGTATTTAGAACATTTCATTGAAGTATTTCCATAATTGCTGACATCCACACACAACAATGATCAAGCCCATGATGGCGCTATAGAAAGTATCTGTAAGAGGCTGTAGAATTACTCATGAATGATTCATATTTCATGGCAAACCAGCCAATACTTGTTGAGATATTTCAGTCTGAACCCAAGTAGTGGTCTGACATACATTGTCATCCATTGAGCCAGTTTGCTAGCATTGATAAAAAAAGCACTAATGATAAAATAAATCATTAAACTCATCTCAGCATCCTATTGTGTGAAATGTATTGCAACAAATGTAATTCTTCTGTAACTTCTCTGAGAAATAAAGACACATCCTGCGCATGCACACATAATCAAATAGGATTTAGCACACACATGAAAGATATTCTAGTTGTAATAATTATTTGGCAGATTTGTATATATAATGCACACAATGTACAACAATATTTTGTATTATTTTTAATATTTTTCTAGTTCTCTACCTGTGCTTTTAATTCTTGTTTTCATGCACCACGACACCAAGTCAAATTCCTCGTACGTGTAAACCTACCTGGTAATAAACCTGTTTCTGATTCTGATTCTGACAGTGTGTTGACTCAAAACAACCATCATGCAGTTCAGTCGGATGGATTCAGCTACAGGGGAACTTGAAAGAAATAGCTAAGGCGGTGGCTGTGGTGAAGGATGTGATGCACATGAGATTGGTTCTCTGCAAAGCATTACAGGAATGGAGAATTAAAGATTCATGAAATTAACTTGGACGGGGCCACACTGTCTACGCGTACCACTGCTCTTCAGATAATGAAAAGTCTCTGGGACCAATCACAGTTATACAGCAGTAAATACAGAAAGTCTGATAAGCTTTGCATTGCTCTCTAACACATGTTGGCTACTGCAAATCACTTTGAGCTACATTCTTTGATGATATCATCTGATAAGCACATGTTAAATAACTACGTGCTCCAAACACAGCCCATGGGACAATCACTGAGAAGATGCATCCCATTGTGGTAAGCTAAAGATACAATTGAGCTGTAGCCTTAAAGTTATTGCCTTTGAAATCAAATACATACCATGAAATTGCTGATGCAGGGCAACTCATGTCATAATTTTTGTAAAACAAGCATGATGGCAGACAGTGAAGAGAGGTCTTACATTAAAGAGTGCTGAGACAGGGCTGTCACCATGGGGCTCTGCTGTGCTGTCACTGAAAGGGTGCAGCAGACCTTGGACCAACATTCGCTGACACAGTTCCTTCGCCTCCTCTTCTGTAGACCCGTCTTCATGATGCATACACAGCCAGTCTAGAAGAGTGCGACCTGAGAACAAAAAAAGCAATGAAGTGCAATGATAAAACTAGAGAAAAACAAAAAATACAGAGTTCCATTTTCCATTTTAGGAATAAACTGCAGGTACTCATGTTGGCTTAATATGACTGGATATTTGTGTTTCTTTGTCTGGAAACGTTACATTTTAAAGGGGACCTACAGTATCATGCAAAATGCACTTTTGTACGTCTTTTATACATGAATATGTGTCCCCGGTGTTCCAGGGAACTCACCAAGTGTCAGAAAACACAACCCTCTCTATTTTCCTCCATACCCAAATCTCTAAAAAAGGGGCTGCAACGGATCTGATCAAAACTGATCCAGATTTGAACACTGTCCTGACGTCAGGACGGTGGCACTACGGCTATTGGGCCAACTCCACCAATCAGGAGGATTGCGTTCGAAAGCGCTGGAGACGCTGTAGTACATATGCCAGGCCTCTAGATGGTGCTGTTCTCACAGAATCAGCCCTTGCAAAAACAGAGCTAGAAATTGTCAAATTGAGCAAAATGAGGCATGGCTAAAATGCATGATCTGTTTGGTATTTTGAAAAAAAAAAAGTATAAATATGCCTTATATAGGTATGGTCCTACACTATATTATTCAAATATAGCATGATAGGTCCACTTTAAGTTAAGATAAATATATCCTGATTCTGGATTCCATATATTACTTATTTCTTAGTATCAGAATGAGGCAAGTGCAAGTGTGTGTTGAAAAGAGATGTCTCAGTTTCGGTTGTGATAATGAAACACCTACATGTGCAAACTCTGTTTACACCATTTACATGTGGGTGACAAGAGAGATGGTGTTAATTGTGCTGTGCAACATTTTTACAAATGCTGGATCACATTCATGGTACAAGTGCATCTAATAATATAACTTTTTTTTAACTAATACTGTCTTAAAACACCTATGGATGAACTTGATATAACTGATAAGTGGGTATTTGGTGTCAGACAAGTATCAACACATTGTTTGACCTGGTGGTGTGGTTGTATGATGTATTCATTCTACATTTAAATAAGACATTGGAAAAACAAAGTAGTTTGTCTTTGTCTTGGAAATCAGGATTAAATACTTTTTTGTTTTTCATGGAGCCAGACAGAAAGAAAGAAAAGTTAGTTTGAGCTGTGGGAAATGTGTCATCGTCTCAAAATCCCTGGATCCCAGATAAGGAAGAATCCTGTTTCTTGATGGTGGCAGGAACACAACCATTAGGGATTGGAGAAAATAGTGACTAAGCGACATCACCAAAAAAAAAAGGATTGAGACTGGAGGAAAAACACAGCTCTGTTACTTAAGACTCCAAGCATGACACAGAGAGTGCAGTCAGTTGTTAATGCTGTTAGACTAGCTTAACATCTTTTAAAACCATGTGATTCAGTGGACGGCGTCAAATGAATAAACAAAGTCCTATGACTCATGGCGCTGTGGACGTTGAGCAGTTTGACGGCTAGCGCTGAAAACCGGTTGCATTTTATGGATTGTGTGACAGAATGAAATAGTCACGGTAAAATCTTCAAGAAAGACAGGCCGACTCAGTCTCACAATACAAATGAGTTCACGTTAAAGCATTTCAATCGAGAATGTGTGTTAAAAGTCTCACATGTGGTCAGTTGTTTCAAATGTTAAATTGTTCCCCTTATTTTCTATCAGTCCTCCCACTCTCTCCTAAGGGCCCAATGGGACCTGGAGAACTCTCTGAACTGATTGCTGTGACATGCATTAGTGAATCAGTGAAAGACTTAATGGTGACATAACCAGAGTCTGTGAATAAAAACAGCATATGTCCTATAATTACTAAATGCCATATAGGCCAAATGTTAATGTTCGAGATACAATGCGCCTCCATTGTTTGGCTACAATAATTTCACCTGACGAAATGTGAATGGATCTCATATCATGACACATTTTTGTCATGCAGATAAACTGTCACTTGTGTTTAGCATCCACAAGTGTGCACTGGATGGGGTGTGTGGTTGTGTGTGTGCATGTGTTTTTTGTGTCCAGGCCAGTAAAATCGGAGGATGGCATCACCCTGGGGGGCGGGGGGTGGCAGAGCTGCTTGAGAGTAGATTTATGAGGACAGGCTCAGACAGTGGAGAGCAGCTGAGCTCCTGAAATGCAACAGAAAATGAGGACAGAGTGGCATTGTTTCATTAGAAATAGGCTTTTGTTCTGGAGACACTTCTCAATAAAAGAACCCCCACTGTGTTATCATGACTTTCATGAGCTATTGTACTTTTAAATCATAACTTTATTATTCCCGCTGTGATCATTTGTATAATGATCTCATTTGTAAGTCACTTGAATTAAAATTACTAGGCTATTAACATAATCATTTTACAAAAACATTGCATAATAAGCTAATCTCAGACATGGCTGGGGATTGGAGCCAAACCAAAAGGAGTGACATCTGCTCTATTTGGGATTTCCAGCAACAACAGGAATAAATGAAAAACCAATTAGGCATAATATTTGAATTGTGATTTGTCCCTGGTAAGTCCTTAAAGTAGATGTATTCAGTCAAATATTTCTTCTCTGAGAGTCAATAAAAGCTTTTTCTCTTTTTACATTAAATAGGTCTAATGATTTTCTATATTATTATCTCAAAAATCACATGTAAATGCCATTAGCCACAATGTATTGATCCTGCTAACATGTACGGCTTGTATTAACTAAAGCCTGTTGTAGGTTACTCTCTGTGCCATACTTCCTTTGTTACATACATCATCTGCAGCTGGATATAGTCAACAACAAACGCCCTCCTGTGTGAGTAACGCTGGATGACAACTACAGTGCCTAGCTGATTTACTGTAGGAAGGTAATTAGCGCTTCTTTACAGAGAACTACATTTGTGTGAAAGATTTACCTCCTCACTCAGAACACTCAGGCTTAAAGCTAAGTACTACAGACAGGAAGTGGGGTATTATCAATCAAGAGACACAATGACAACAAGGCGCTGTTGGTTTGGTCTCTTGTGTGAAAGTCCTGTGTTTCTTTCCCCATCCATCACTCTAAATCCACCTCTTATGGATTTCTGGCTCTGTATAAATGTCTTCCTGACTTCCTCCTTTGCTCCTGTCATAATTAGGTCACTAAAGGTTGGTGTTGTCTCCTTGTTTTCCTTCTTGTAACCGTGTGAATAGATGATAACACGTACTCAGTGTAGCAGGCCCCTGGTGCATCACACTGATGAGGCTGATTATAAAATCCATTTCAAATAGTCCAATAACATTCGTAAAAAGGTGCTGAGACAGACATCCTGGTTCCTATCCATTCACATGTTTGCAACATCCCTCTATCATCCAATTGATTAAAAATACAAGACCACTCTCTGCTAGTTCACAACATTAAATCAAGAAGCCCCCAAATACCTCTCTTTTTCTCTGAACTATACAGAAAGACTCACCAGAGAAGACGTCCAGGTAGGGTACTGTGGAAGTGGAGGCCTGCCGTCCATACTGTGCTCTCCTGGAGCCCAGGGTCCAGAAGTTTCCCTTCTCAGGTGTCTCCTGCTCTGGAAATGTGGCCTCACCACTCTGCCTCCCTCTTAGCTTATCTAACTCTGTTAACCAGTCTGCTGCCCCACTGAGGGACCCAGCAACTGAGCAAGACCTCTTCTTGAGCTTTCTTAATACCTGGGTCGATTCTACCGCAGCATCGTTGACATCTGTTTTCCTGGGCACATTGGGACTGGTAATGGGGGAGCCAATTGGAGAGGTGAGATTCCTGGTGGTGGTCTTAACATAGGAGGGGTGGACTGGAGGGTAGAGTTTGACAGTTGAAGGGGAGATGGTGGAGGATGTCCGCCTATGCTGAGGAACGTCTGGCGTTAGCTGACTAAATGACAAACTACTCTTCCTCCTTTTTAGAGACAGGAAGTCCCGTCTCCCGGTTTCCTCTTCCCTCTCCATAGACAGGTCCGAGCTGCTCACACTCTTGTGAGGCCCCTTCGAACCTGCCACCACCGGGTCCAAGCAGACACTCGGCACACATGTGTTTCTGCTCTGTGCAGCCAGAACTGGGCTCTCCAAGTCTTCTTGGTGCTCCTCAGCACTCTCATACGTGGAACTGTTAGTCGTGTTGTCGTGGAAGCTGTATGTGCTGTTAGTGTTCGGGAGAAGGCTTCCACTGCTTCTCTCTGTGTCCGGGCCTGAAGAGGCTGGACCACTTTCACTCGGGGTTCCTGTGCCAGATGAATTACTTGATATGACATAGCTTTCGTTCTCCACATTCTTATATTTCTCGCTTACTTCTTTTGGTACGCATTCAACACCAACAGGAGGAGAATACACATCCTTTTCTAGATTGAATAGCTGAGGAGACACTAGCTTCTCCTGGGCTTTATTCCCCTCAGATGATAGTCCTTCAGATAGATTAACGGTAAGCACTTCCTGCTTGTCACTGGACTGGTCTCTTATGGCCTGCTGGATGTCAGAGAGCAGGTCTTCATTTTCAGCTGCTGCTGAGTGAAAACTGTAGAGGTCACCATCCGACCCTGAGCTTGTTTTTCGGCCAGTCTCGACATCTGATAGCATGCCCATCTCATCAGCTGACGCCTCTGCACTTGGTGTGAACCCTGCTTTGCCCAAGTGTGCTGACCGCCCATCGTCCAACATATCATCCTTAGACAGCCCTTTTGCCTTTGATAAACTCTTCCTGATCTTCATGCCAGAAAACATAGAGCCCTTCGACTCAGACTTCGATTTCTTCCTACCGGCTTGTTCTCCTCCTTTACTTATCTTGTTGTGGGACTTTTTAGATTTCTTGTCCACATCCCTCTCGTCAGCATCGCCGTCACAGGAGACATCCCCTGCTGCTCCTCCACTTCCTCCTCCTTTCTTCTGCTTTGTTTCCTGGTTCCCCATGTTTCTAAACAGGCGGACACCCTTTGCTAACAGGCCATTCTGCTGGGTTCGAGGCTGGGCATGCTGGGCTTCCTCCTGGGATGCTATTGATGCTGGTCCTCTGTTGGTCAGAGCCCTATCAGAGCTGCCTAATCCCTGCTGTCTGCCCACCACAGTTAAAGGCAGCTGTGAGAATGATGCTGCCTCCCCCTGTGCCGCTGATGCTGATGATGAAAGGAGGAGGAGACTGGCACTGACAGCCGCGGGCTCACTACCACTCACTCTTTGCTCACCCCCCCTCCCCTGCACAGCCTCGCTCACTCTCTGATCCTTCCTCTCTTGTTGCCCCTCCTTTTTATCCCCATCTGCTGCTGCACGCTCTGCTGTCTTGCATAACGGGCTGCTGGACGAGCGAGCGAGCCGTTGATGTTCAGGAGTGTGCGATCCTTGTCCATTCTCGACCGAAGTGGAAATGACTGGCTTAGGATGCTGCTGCTGATGCTCTAAAATGCACTGTTGTTGATTGAGGAGTGAGTTCTGTTGTTTACGGAGGAGGTTGGTAACGCTGCTCTTCCTCCTGCCTTTGAAAGTGGTGGTGAAGAAACTCTCTTTCAGAAAGGGCACCTGGGTCTCCACCGTCTTAAAAGTCTGCATCCTGACCACTGTGGCTTCATCCAGAGGGGAGAAGATCTAGACAGGATGAAGTGAAGAGGAAACGTTACATTGGTTCATTTGATACATTTAAGCTTAACTGTAAGAGAGAAGAGACAATCTGCTCCCGGTGGAGTCATGATGTCAAAGTTGAACATGAGTTCAAGCTGACATAATTAAGTCTTATGTCTCTTGTTGCCATGGACCAGGGACGTGCACAGAATTTTGGGGGGGGGGGGGGGGGGGGCACTTCCCATAATCATTTATAAAAATATGTTTTAAAACAAAAAGTTAAATATAGTTGCACATCTCTGACTTACTGACCAATTTATTTTAATACCCTCACACTCACGCAATTGTTTAATACTCAACAGAATTCTACAAAATAATCAGCTAACTAACACACAGACAATGGTCTTCTTTAGTATTCACTAAGCACAAGAGCAGACAACAAACTAGTAAAATCAATAGTTATTAAATGAGCAGCCAACAATCATTATGAAGTTACTGTTTAAGGACATTACAGGCAAAAAGATAGTTTTTTCATGTACTTGTTATTTTGGTCTATTTTGCTTCCATGTTTTCTTTCACTCTAATGGAAATAAAACTTCCAAGAAACACATATAAATGGTGTTCGTTTTACTACCATGTCTGAATTCATCTATAGATTTAAAGCTAATTTCCGGGGGAAATATACTTCACGTAAGTAAAGTTGGGGAAGTTGTGAGGTGATATGCTTTTTTGTTTTATCCTTTTCACCTGCAATGCCTTGGTAACTGCATGCAAATTAGCGCATTTTAATTAAGGCAAGGCAAGGCAAGGCAAGTTTATTTATATAGCACCTTTCAACACAAGGCAATTCAAAGTGCTTTACAAAAATGGAAGACATTATGAAAATGGCATTTAAAATCAGTCATTAAAAAGAAAAGATAACAAAATAAACATTAAAAGAAAAGATAACAAAATAAACATTAAAAGAAAAAATACATGGATAAAAGTTAAAAGTTACAGTGCAGTTTAAGATGTGAATAGTTCAATTAAAAGCAGCGGCAAAAAGAAAAGTCTTCAGCCTGGATTTAAAAGTAGTAAGAGTTGCAGCGGACCTGCAGGTTTCTGGGAGTTTGTTCCAGATATTTGGAGCATAATAACTGAACGCTGCTTCTCGATGTTTAGTTCTGACTCTGGGGACAGAAAGCTGACCAGTCCCTGAAGACCTAAGAGTTCTGGATGGTTCATCATTTAGCAGTAGGTCAGACATGTATTTTGGGCCTAAACCATTCAAAGCTTTATAAACCAGCAACAATATTTTGAAATCTATTCTTTGACACACAGGAAGCCAGTGTAAGGACTTCAGAACAGGAGTGATGTGATCCACTTTCTTAGTGTTAGTGAGGACTCGAGCAGCGGCGTTCTGAATTAGCTGCAGCTTTCTAATAGATTTTTTAGTGAGACCTGTAAAGACACCATTGCAGTAGTCGAGTCTACTGAAGATAAAAGCATGGACAAGTTTTTCCAAATCCTGTTCTTTAGGTGATAGTAGGCTGATTTAGTAACTGTTTTAATGTGACTGTTGAAACTCAGGTCAGAGTCCATGACTACACCTAGATTTCTGGCTTTATCTGTTGTTTTGAACATTGCAGACTGAAGCTCAGCGCTAACTTTTATACGTTCTGCCTTGGCTCCAAAAACCATTACCTCAGTTTTATCTTTGTTTAATTGGAGAAAGTTCTGACACATCCAGTCATTGATTTGTTCAATGCACTTACTCAGTGTTTGAATTGGAGCATAATCTCCTGGTGAAATTGTTACGTAAATTTGTGTGTCATCCGCATAGCTATGGTAACTTATTTTGTTGTTTTTCATTATCTGAGCCAGTGGTAGCATGTAGATGTTAAAGAGAAGAGGCCCCAAGATGGAGCCTTGAGGTACCCCACATGTCATATTTGTCAACTCAGATGTGTATTTACCTATAGAAACAAAGTTTTTTCTGTCCTTTAAGTAGGACTCAAACCAATTTAGAACTGTTGCCGAAAGTCCCACCCAGTTTTCTAGTCGGTCTAGTAATATGTTGTGGTCAACAGTGTCAAACGCAGCACTGAGATCTAATAATACTAACACTGAAGTTCTGCCACTGTCTGTGTTTAAGTGGATGTGATTGAAGACCTTTACAAGAGCAGTCTCAGTGCTGTGGTTTGGATGAAAGCCTGACTGGAACACATCCAAACAGTTATTTAAATGCAAGAAGTTACTCAACTGTTGAAATACAACTTTTTCAATGATTTTACCTAGAAATGGCAGGTTTGATATTGGCCTGTAATTGTTCATTACTGAAGCATCTAGATTATTCTTTTTCAAGAGCGGTTTAATGACTGCAGTTTTCAGGGCCTCTGGAAAAATACCTGAGTGAAGAGATGTGTTTACTATATGAAGTAGATCTGAGGCCATGCAAGGAAAAACATCTTTGAAAAATCCTGTTGGAATAATATCAAGGCAGCAGGAGGAGGATTTCAGAAGTTGAATAATGTCCTCTAAGTTTTTACCATTAATCTGATGGAATTGTGTCATGATGTTAGAATTGATATTAGGTGGACATAGGGACAACACAATTAAGCCTAGTTAACGCATAATTTGCATATCAATGTGGCGATTGTAATGACGTTATTAGATACACGTTTTACTATATTCGCTTTAAGTGTCTCCCCTTAAGTACAGTACATTAGCCTGTATGGCCATGATAAATTGCCTTAGCTAAACCTTGAGCTAACTTATCCATTAGCTAGTAGCCTACCTTAGTTAACTATATTTGTTATTGTCTTTTAGCTAATTAGCTGTAAACTCGAGGCACTGGCAGCTTAGTCATTTGTTCATCACCACTCACCTTCAAAATAAGCAAAGAAAAGCCGGTGTTGTGTCAAATTATGCACCCCCATCATGAAATGCCCCCCTTGTCACGGGAACGCGCATTTCTAAATGACACGTTTACACCTTAAAACGATGTTTAAAACGAAAAGTAAACGTTCAGGGTTTTTATTAATGGTAATTTTCAGACTGTGAGTTGTTTAGTGGTAGCTCATATAGTCTTGATTCTTGTGGTTAAACTTTTCGCTCCGTATTTGATGGTAATGGTGTCGAAATTCATTCGTCACTTCCTTATCAGTTTTTTTTGTGTTTTGTTATTGTTACGTCCTGTCTGTATACACGTGCTTTAAAATGTATTGTTTAATTTTACATATTTGTCATATAATAATCAAAATATATGTTTACAAATGTTACATAGTCTTTGTCAACATATGTTTGCCACGTTATGCACCCCTTGCTATCTTACATAATAAAAGTGTCACATTCATGAAACTTGCTCCATTTATTGGTACTAGTCCTACAACTATACCCTGAAAAATGCTTGAGGGTGGGAATAATAGAAACATCTTTTTGGGTGGGGTGCATTTTTTGACAGGCCTGGTTATAACAATATTCCCCCCCTTGCTATCTTACAAAATAAAAGTGTCACATTCATGAAACTCCATTCATTGGTACGAGTCCCACAGTCTAATCTCCCGACCTGATATTTTACTTTTGTATTCAATCAATATATTTTTGGAAAGGGAAACTGTGCGCAAACAGCAGTAGATATATATTCATTTATAAAAATAAATAAAAAAGGGGAAAAAAAGGGCACTTTCTCTGGAGGAAGAAAAAGGGCAGGGGCTCAAGCCCACTTTGATGTCTATGTGTGCACATGCCTGCCATGGACTGTACACATTTAGTGAATAGTGATCATTGTTCCATGAAATTCTTTCACTCTGTGTTTTAGCACTTTGCATGTATATGTCCATTACTTGTACACTTAAGATGTTTGGATTTAGCAAACACAGTTATCTGGATTTAAGTTAGGAAAAGATGGATTAACATGCATGTAACACAACTGGTGACAGCAAGAGAAACTTTGTGAAATTACCATTAAGCAGACATGTATGAAAAGTGAAAAAGTGAAATCAATTAGTCAATCTAGTGAAAATGTAAAATGCAAACTGAGTTATCCTAATATTTGCTGATTTTTTTCTCATCTTATACGATAGCGTACTCAATATAGTCGGTTGGAGCTGGTGGGAGCTGGTGGGACCAAGGATCTTGCGATCGCCTTTTTTCCAAAAAATATAAATACATAATTTTCTACTTCTGTATCCACAGAATGGGCAGACGGATTCTTAATCTAAATCAAAATACTGTATCCTTAACATAGCGAAAATGAATCTATTTCAGTATGCCAAATATGTCTGATGTCAACATTTAAATATTCTTACTGCTATTTACTTCTTCTCAATTATGTCCAAAGTAAAATACATATTACAGTTTTAATATCGCCAAACATTTAATTTAAAAACATCTGTTAAAGCTTGAATTGACATGATCTAAATGCTGTATGTGTGTGTGGGCCTGAACCAAGGCATGCCTTAGGACAGATTACTGCTATGGGTGTGGTATAGATAAGATTTAGCCATTAGACACTAATTGATTGAATTAAAAAGTAAGTGGTTTGAGGTAAGAAAACACATCAAGTCTGTCAACCAGATAAACGCAAACAAATATATATATATTTTTTAAATAACACATTGTACTAAAAAGGCCCCTAATTGTAAGACATTTGTTGTTACTAGGTTCATTAAAGTCATTAAAGTTTACTTTATTCAAATCTTAAATAATGACATCAGTTTCTACTTCTGAGCACTCTAGGACATCGTCTCTGTAAAACAAACGCACTTTTAAATCACTTTCCAATGCAAGCCAAATGTGTAACATGTATGAAAATACAGTATGTGAAATATTGATGATCAACCTTTAAGATAGATATTTTAAAACATAATATTATAAATGAAAGTGTACTTGCCTGTGACTTCTCCTCCCTGGTTTAGCGCTGACTGAAGAAAACAACACAAATGGCTGTTTGTCTTCCTCTATGAGCCACTCCTAAGCCATGGGTCACATGAAGTTGGTATTTTCCTCATCACATGTCTGGTCTCCTTCGCCAACTTCCATTAGCACCGTCTCAGACTCCCCTTACTAACTTCATCAGGCCTCATCATGGGAAAATACACCACTGCGCAACGGTCAAAGAACATCTCATTCATTTTCTGGGTATAATTAGACACTCAGTTCTAATGGTGTGGTGGTGTCAGACAGTGATGCACAAATTACATTTAACAACAAGTTAGACGCAAGCTTCCACGCATAATATCAAGTGTTATCTCGTTGGAATAGTCCACCATGATGCAACTTTTAAACTCCCCTCCCACCCAAGAAGATATCAGCTGTGTCTTCCTAACATTACCTGACATTGCAGCAACTCTAAATACAAACTTGAACAACACAGGTTTATGAAAATAGGGGATAAAAGATAACTCAATTAGAACAATATTAAAAAAGTCAAAATGAAAGATCATAGCTTTTAAAATTATAACACATTTAACTCTGAGATCAGGTACATCACCTTAAACTATAACCATTATCTACTGGATTTCATTACAAACTAAATATCTATTCTTTTTTATATCAAGTATTATTTCAGTCAGTGTTTTAAACATGCACTATACAGCTGAATAATGACCCAACTCCATATTCATGAAATCACCCTGTGTGTAAATAAAGGTTAAAATTAATCAATACATGCAGATACAAAATAACATTATAACTTGCGACATGAAAAAACTGATCATTTCTGTCAAAAAGGTTTTTGTTTTATTTATTGACTTAAAATATGAGTATGATTGCATACTTGAAATGTAACAAAATGTTTGTGTTCACAATTTTGGTAGTTTACATTCCCAATATTTAAGTACAAAAATCTCATATTTTACTGAATAAGGTATCATGACACTGGAGCACATTGTGTTAAAAGCAAATGAAATTCCCCCCCGATTACACACATGGGATATTTTTTAACATCTCTTTGCACTCAGCACATATTAATACAATTGTACTTAAATTATCCAATTCTTCAGTATGTCAGTTGTTATAATAAGGTTATCCTTTGCGTTCAATACCTTTTGCACTTTATTCAATATCTGGGTGTGGAAATAATGTAAAAACCATCTACTTAAAATAAGAATAAGATAATGTGCAATACAAATAAACAATTAAAACAAATTCTTATTTACCCATTAAGAAGTCATTGGCCTCTTCATGCTGACTCGTTGGTGTATGGAAAAACTTGATGACCAAAATAGCTATCAATTCTATTTACAAATCAATTGCTGCTTAATAATAAGGAAAAACTTCACCCAAAAATCATTTTAAATGCAACATAAAATATTCCGGCTATGACAGAAAGTTAAACGATGGATACTTCAATGATTGCAAACCTTATTTTTCAAGATCCAAAATATATATACTTTTAAAACTTCAAATCTAAATTTAATTTCATATTTATAAGCCTAAGCAAGTACAATTTTAGAAGTGGGACTGCCAGAAATACAGCTATTTCTCAAGCCACTAGAGGCTGCCCTTGTTCTACTATATCAAAGAGTGGTGGCCCTCTACAAAAAGTACCATAGCTGTATCATTTTGTAGAAATCTAAAAGATAGTGTAACATGAAAACACACATCATTATAAATGGACATCTTTGTGTGTGCAATCAATCATTGTATATCAAGTCAGAAATATTCAAATATACACAAACAGAATATCATCAATGTATAATCATTACTCTGGACAGAGAACTGCAAGTACATGAAACACAACCAATGTACTTATTGTCTCCACCATAAAAACCACAACAATCACATTGAACACTACAGCAGTTCACTGACCGTGGTGCCACACACATATTCACAACTCAATTCATCAGAAGAAGAATTTTCAGACTGGCTCAAAATCTCAGAAATATCTAGAAAACCTCAAAAATTAATATCACAAAAATAACTCTGTTGACTGAAAGTAAGGACACAATTCAAGAACTTTTTTTTATATTCCATCAGACACAGGGAAGCTATATCCATGTAGAAAGGCAATGTACATAGTTTCTGATAAAAACACATGCCAGTCAAGAGGAGACAGGTCAAATCAGTACGATGTAGAAGCATGTGAACACTAACACTAGTTTTTGTCTTGGCTTTCAGTGACAACAGATTCCATGTTTTGTTTTTAATGCAAAACCACTCTGCACGTTACAGATCTATCTAGAGACAATATAATAAATGTGAATACCCAGCCCTGTGACAAATATATCCTTTCCTCTTGTGTCAATTGCACTTCAAAGATTCTCCTGCAAAGCATTTTAAAGCCCTTTTTTCTATTGGTTCCCACATTCAAACGGTTGAGTTCATTAAGGACAGAGAGAGAGTTTTCATATCTGAATCTCACTACTGTATACACAATCCTTCACGCACACAGCTTTGCTAAAAGGATGCTCCAACACCAACACATACCTCATAAACCACCACATGGGGTTGCTGTGCTGGACACACCAGCAGAGAAACACATTAAGGATCTCTAAGCAAAGATACTCCACAGAAACAACTACATGGATGCTTCTTCCTTTTTCTTCTCCTATGTTAAATCTTACTCTTCCCAGTCCTTTACGTTGACTCCCTGGGAATCCTTCTGTGGAAGACCACCGACTGCCTCTGCTGGAACTGCTGCTTCCGCCTTTTTTTCTGGTCCCATTGGCACATTAGTATCATCTTAAAGGTTGTACGGAAAGTCTTGTTGCACAGGGCGTAGCACATGGGGTTGACTGTGCTGTTGACGTAGCAAAGCCAGTACCCAACAGCCCACAGTGTCTCTGGGATGCAATTTTTACAAAAGGCATTGATCAGCACCATGATGTTGTAAGGTGTCCATGTTATGATGAATGCAAAGAGGATGGCACTGAGAGTTTGAGCTGCCTTCTTCTCCTTCACTAAGGACATGCGCTTCCTCTTAGTGATCTGAGTCCGGGCACGGGTTGCAAAACGCTTTGCCATAGCTGCCTCTTTGAAGGATATTGGGCCAGAGGGGGATTTAGTGGTGGTGCTGGTGGTAGAATTGTCGGTGGCAGTGGTAGTAGTTGTTGGGGGACCATTCAAGCCTTGGTTCGAGTTGGACTGGATGATAGGCATCGATTGAATCTTGCGTGAGCCGAAGCGCTGGTGGTATGCACTTTTTTCTGAATTTATTTCACCATCGGGAGTAGTGGCGGCAGTGGTGTTACTGGTGGCGGTTGAGAGGCTGTCTCTACTATACTCCTCTCCCCTGAGGGGATCGTTCTCTGAGGCTGCATCCAGATCCTCACATGAGGTGAGTTGGGAGTTGACAGCAGCTTTTATACCAGGCAGGCTGAGAACGATGGAGAAAATAGCATGACTCTGGGAAATCATCTCTTTGCCCCCACAATCCTCATCCTCTGAAGACCCAGAGTGATCCAACGAGATTGCAGCATCGTTGTTGTTCCAGCTGTCGCTGCTGCTCTGGTCTGGATCACCCTCTCCTTGCCGGATACTACCAGGTCTCCAGGAGCGAACCCCAGGCCAGCAGTGGAAGCGGCCAACCAACTCCCGACATGTGCTTCTTCTCCGTGACAACCTAGTTAGCTCGTAGCTGCTGCAACTTCTAGAACTTCCTGTCTGATGGACGAAACGGGCTTTCTCGCCCCCACCACTCCCTCCTCTTCCTCCTGCCGCACCACGACTTCCCGAACCCTGCAACCCAGCTAACTCCTTCGAACGGTTCTGGGTTTCCTGGTAAATTAGCCAGTAGAGAACACTCATTATCGTCACAGGCAGGTAGAAAGCAGCCATGGCTGTGCAGAAAGTTATAGTGGGCTCTGTGAGGAACTGAATGTAGCATTCATCTGAGGGGACTGTCCTTTTACCCTCAAAAAACTGCCATAGGATGATGGCTGGGGCCCACAGAACAAGAGAAACAAACCAGGCCAGGCCGATCATGATCCCAGCTCGCTTTGTGGTCCTTTTGGCTCGGTAGGTCAAAGGCCTGGTGATTGAAAAGTAGCGGTCAAAGCTGATGACCAGTAGGTTCATAACTGAAGCATTGCTAGCCACATAGTCTATAGCCAGCCACATGTCGCATGCCCACTTGCCCATGGCCCAGTAGCCCATTACAAGATAAGCTGTGTAAAGGTTCATGGAGATGACTCCTATGATGAGGTCAGCCACAGCCAAGCTCAGCAGGAAGTAGTTATTGACTGTCTTAAGCTGGCGATTAACTTTGAAGGATACTACCACCAGGACGTTGCCGATGACGGTGATCAGTGACAGCATGCCTGTCAGCAAGACAATGATGATAACCTGCCACAAAGGAAGGCCACCCACGTGATCAAGGGGTGCTGTTATGTTCTTAGATTCTGAGGTGAGGTTCAGGAGATTGCTGGTGTTAGATGAATTATCCTCCATGGAATTCAAATGAAATTGATGGAGAGAATTGGATTGTGGGAAAGCTCCGGCTGCTGGTAGTGAGGTGATTGCAGTCAGGAAGAGACCAGGGTCTGTGCTGTTGGAGCTCATCGTTGTGTCCTGGCATATTCTACAGAGAAAGACAGAAAAGGGAAGAAAGGAGGGACAGAGAGAAGGGGTGGGGATTTGAACAAAAGGGTAGGTAGAAAGGGGAAAAAGGATAGAGGGAAAAATAAAAAAGGACACATGAGCATTGGACATTTCCATTTATATCCAGTAGGTGAGGCTAGAAACCTTCTATATAAAGCCCGATGTTTGGAAAAGAAAAGATGCTTGGGACTGATTTGTCCACCTTGTTAAGCAATCACTCATAACTTCATTTGTAGAGGATTTTGATGCACACTGTAAATGCATTTGCTGGCCATATATCAAATTACAACTTGACATCTGAATAAATAAGGCTAGACAGCCAACACTTCCAGTGAGAGAGAATGACTGCAATACACATCTGCTCCTTATGACACCCAGCAAATTGCAAAGACATGTACTTTACACACAGACAATGTTCATACATTAATAAAATAGCTGTTTTGGTGGGATTTCACCTTGCATTACGTTATTATTATGACTTGTGTAGGGGTGGTTTTCTTGTGTCACGTACTGTATCAGGTGTGGAAGTTGCATGCTGGTGATTTTTATTTAAAATGTAGCCGTAGTTGAATGGTGTCAGATCTTGTGTCTGCCTGTTTGTCGGTCTGTCAAACACATACATGGTGAAATCGTTTTTCTTGTGATGGGTTTTGTAGTTGTAACGCTCATACTTTGTAGATTGATTTTTCTAAAACATGAAAATGACAGCCAACAGCCAGATACCAGCCATTAGCTGTTCAAACACCAAATCAATGACTGACTGATGTCACGGATGACGTTGCTGTCTTTTCAGCTGGGCCATAAAAGTAAGTAGACATCATCCTAAGTATGGGCTAGCAGACAGCACCAAGGATGGGGGACAAAGAGGAGATACATTCATTGACGAGAGATTTTTAGGACCTTGGGAGGTATTCTGAAATTGTTCCTGTCTGAGTACAAAGGTTGTTGGTGTCAGTTTGACAGTATGAATTCCCAGCTCTTGTTATTTTGTCACCGGACTTGATCTCGTGTTCCAGGAGCCCTGATTTTGGGCAGAGAAAGCTTTCAGAGCCAAAACCTTAAAGAGACTAATAGCACTGTGAGAGCTACCAGCAGCATGATCCTAAATAGCATGGAGTGCTGTTTGTTGTCTGGGGATCACTTCACAATGGAATGGACAGTCCTGTGGATTTTGGCAAAGCAATTCTTGAAAATTGGATAATTAGGTGAGGAATTGCCATTTTGTGAAGCAGCATGTCATATCCATTTCACCATCTTAAGTTTTGCCGTGCGATCAGTTATATATTAACATCATGTTTGTTGTTAAAAATAGATGTTTGACAGCAAGAATAGTAAAATAAGGAACAAATCAAATGTGCACTATGAGTGAATGTGTGTAATTTATCAACCGTTAAACCACTAAGTTAGGTAGAAAGCAAAAGAGAGAGAGAGTGGGGTATAGCTGCAGTACATACATTCACATACCTTGAACAAATGTGTGCAATTATTTTTAAAGATGGGTTTAGTATGGATGTTATTTCAATACACTTCGTAAAAATATGATTTGTTTGGTTACAAATACAACAACAAACTGCTGTTTCTTTGTAATTTAGTAGTCTCTATTCTCATTTGGAGTCATTTTAGGTCACTGTGAGTGATTGTACAAAGCGCAGCACATTTCCCTGAACTGTCTTTTTATTGTAAAGCCATGAACATGGTGTTCTTCCGCTCACGTTTATGACAATGGTTCCTATTAAATCTGACACTAACCTGAGCCTGTTTGAAGGGAACAAACACTGTCTTGTTACCATCAAGAACAACCCCCCCATACCCAAACCTCAACACAAATGTAACGACAAATACATGTGCCAACAACACATATAAGCTCGACAATAGCAGTTCCATATAAAACGTCAATAGCACTCATACTATTTCAAACCAAAAGTCAGAGGTATTTGAAGCGGAGTGGTGCACCTGTGCCTTAACAGAATCTCAGACCTCCCACTGAGCTGTTCAAGTAGCCCACGAGCCAGCAGCGATTCACAGCCGTTTGAGACATTGAGCACACGCTGCTATTATCATGAGGCTCCCTGCTGTCCCCTGTTTTGACATATACCGGTTCTTTCACATTTAAAATGTATAGTGTTTATGTCATATGAGCATACACTGTACATGCAATGTGTACATCACGTGTGCATGGAGAGAAATATAGTCCATGCAAGCGCACTCATATATTAAAAAAACACGATACTTTGTATTTTTGTGACAAACAAATCCCCTATGTGGATGAATACAACTTCAAATTGAGTCTATACCTGCAAGAACAAACAATAAGAAAACACATTTAGATAAGATAACACACTTAAAAGCCTCTTTAGAAATAAAAAATACGTGTTACTTTCCACAAAGCAAATTCTACTGAGAATACAATGTGTTGTTTATAAATCTTAAACAACTTTTTATTGGCTTAAAATGGCTAAATGTGTCTCTGTGAAGATACGGTAAGGGCTTAAAAGTGGAGAATCTGTCTTTCATCTGCTACCTGGACTCGGAGTAAAAAAAGGACAGAAAAACATTTAAAAAACAAATAATTCAATAAAAAAGGAATATCAAACAGCAGCACAGTGAAGTGCGTAGTCTTACCGTGTCTGGGGAATAGAGGCATGGGAGGCTTGCTCAACAGCGGAGGAAAGAGCAGGTCCTTTGGGAAAGGGCCAAATGTCAGACCCCCTGAACCTGCTTCTGTCTCTTTGAGAGTGACAGGATATTTCTGTGTAGGCACAGGTGTTCTTCAGATGCAATCACGTACAGTGTGCAACACACTGAAAACATCGTGACACAATAATGCCAGTTTTACTGATTGGAGAAATGTTGCTTGTCTAGTTTTGTAAGCTACTGTTTATACAGCATATCAAATGTATGCATCCATATATGAATAGTGTTTGTTCACAATCAATTTCAATGGTTAACCACCGTACATTTACACCTCTTTTCCCTTCGGAGCAGAAATTGGATGCACAACAGATGAAGAGTGGTCTGGTTTGCTTTCCATTAAATTGAATTGAACAAGCATTTTTGGGATGAAAACTGTGAGCAGCAGCAGATTGCATAATGGGTGGTCTCGCAATGCTTTGAAAACCAACTGCCACTGGAAGGAAGCTATTATAGTGTGTCTCCCCCAAGCCCATGTTAAGCTCTATATCTTAAGTTTTACTCGCAGGCAGGCAGGCGTGATGGTTTCAGGTGCACAGAGCGATCGATATTCGTTTACTGTGTCGCAACACACACCGTGTTATTTGACATTTTGAGGCATTTGTCCCAGCAAGGTTGGACAGTGCAATCAAGGTTGGGTCCAAGGATCAATCTAAATGATTGGGCGACTAACAAGAAGCTATTTCATGTTTCAATTTTCATAAATTAATCCAGCAGAGCAGTGCTTCGAGCAGATGATGTCCAGCAAGGGTAAGTCATGTTGACAAGTGCCTTTTAATAAAGGTTAACCTGCTCTAATTTGAAACAACCTCTGAGTGCCCCAACACCTTCAGTTAAAAGGAAGCCCTTTCACAATTTATTTATTTCAGGATTGACATAGATATTCAGCTCATGGAGGTTTAATAAACCGTTTCTGTGTTTTAAAAGAAAATAAAGAATATTTCCTTTGTATCTTAATGTTTCCCGTTTAAAACATTACAATTGGCTCCTGTAAAGCCTTATGTAATGTGCACATTTGTGTTGGAGCCAAACATCTGGACACATCTGGAAACAGGCAGGGGTTTTAGCAGTTCACATTGGGGAATTATTGTAAAAACAACTCAAGCAGCTTGAAAACAAAAAAGGCGAGTGCCAAACAAGGCAGATTCAACCATAGACTGAAGGGTACTGTACAGGCTGAGGGAAACTAATCAACAATTTGGAAGACTGAACTGAGTTGCCAAGCATTAAGCGATTCCAAGAGAGCAACTACAGACTGAATGCATGCATATTTAGTCCACCCAGCATATGCAAACATTGGCTTTGATTACCATAATTGGCAAGGCAGAGCTGCATTGTCAAATAGCAAGCAGATTGCTGCCTTGTGGCAAGAGGACAGGCAGCAAGATGTATGGAAGACAGTGATCAGTGACCTTTTTCTAAACACAATGCCTTAAATGTGTTCTCTCTAAGAAAGCAATCCACAAGATCATCTCAGCCTTTGCCATCCCCGTCAGCTGGATAATGTGGCATTGCCCAATAAGAGATAACTGTTGTGGATACCAGCTCATTCCAAGTGATACAAGTTGGAAAAGACTTCAGGGTGAATGTGCTACCACAACACTGGCTGCTCTGTTGAGTTATCGATTTCCATCTATTGAGCGTAGCTTGCTCTGACCCAGACGTTTTATCTTACATTAACATAATCTACACATCAACAGAAGACGTGGGCTACAACTGCACTGGCATTTGCTGATAACAGACCTACAGGTGCAGGGTGTAAGATATGTCTTGAAATGTTAAAACAGCCAAAAAAAAAGGATAAGTGTTGATGTCAAATTCTTTCTACGTATTGTGTTGAAATTAGCATGCTAGCAGACTAGCCTGGCCAATCGTTTCTTGTCATGCCACTTGTTCACTGAGAGGCAATATTAAGTTACTGCTGTGCCAGTCTGACCTAAGTCCAGAGGGATAGTAAATATATCTGCCTCGACTGGCTTGTCCATAATCCAGTCATGGTCTGAGTCTGTTTTACATTTTGTCGGCAGGTTGCACTCCTGTACGCAGGGAGGATGAGACAAGAGTGGGCTTTGTTTTCTCTTTTGTGCCACTTTAGATGTTGTCCAATAAACAAATTAACAAAACACAGACTGTATAACTCTTTATAAAAAAAGATAAAAAGTGTCTGTGTTTTAAATGATAAAACACAGATTATAAAACAGCAGTGTTATTTGGACCAGATTTCAGAGTTTCAGCACTTTAGTTGAATTTTGGAAATGCTTGCTATGCTGCTAGTTAGTAGTAGGCTTT